TTGACTTTAAAGAAGTGGCAAGCCGACTGTGAACAGAGCACAATGCAGCAAGCTTCAGTTTCTAGGTTGACTCTTTGATGTTCATTGGCTTGTCGATGTTGTTGCTGATTGAATTGATCAATAAGCCAAGCTTGTCAGTCTTGCTTTAACAAGCTTCATCAAGACTTAAGGTTTACTCAGGAGCTTTTCTTGTCTTATCAGTTTGCATCGCTAGAGGATATTATTATATTTATTCAACGATTTTAAATTGGAGAGGAAATTGTTTAATGAAATGAAAATTTTGATCTGCCTTTTCAATAAATTCTTGTTTCATTTTGCTCTTTTTTCGATTCCTTGCTCAGGGAATAGTTTGATGTCTTCAATGTTGCTTGTATTCTATCAAAATCAATGGACTGGGAGTAAACAAGATGAATACGATATCTCATTTGATTCATGTTCATCTTTCTTCTTCTCTTCTTTTCTTTCTTTCTGCTTTGACTTTTGTCTTTCCATCTTCATTATATGGCATTATATTGATTAGCAATAAGCGGCCCAAGTATCATGAAATATCTTGCACATACTATTGTGTTAGAAATTTTGTTTGAAATAAAAGTCGTTTACCAATGAACATTTCAACTGACGAAAGACAAAAGAGAAGAGAAAAAAAGTCAAATCAAAGTTAAACGAATGAAATGGAATCAGAAGCTTTTTGTTTTGCCTTTTCATTCCAAGTTTATTGATGCTATTTTCTAGTTCAACTCCACCCAATAACATTTCTCATCAAGAGAACATTGATCGTTACTGTGAGCCTTTGTTGAACTCATTTTCACCCTGAAAATTATTATTATTTTCTGTCTCAACCTTGATTAGGCAGGAGAACAAAAAAAGCCTTGAATTGAACTCCATCAAGTCCCAATGCAACCTTGTTTTATCCCTTTGTCTATTGCTCATGTCAATGATTTATTTATCAAAAGTAAACAGATAAATGAACTTTTTTCTTCTTTTTTTTCGAGTTTTTTGTTTAGACCTTTTGCTTGGTTACTTTGGACCTTTATTGGCCTTAAATGTTAGTTTGATTTACATTCTTATTTTTCATTCATTTCTCGATAAATATCTTTCAAAATAAAGTTCAATAAAATAAATCATTTTGATTCAACCATTTGATTCCATTTGATGAAAAATGAACACTTTTTGTGATCTCTTTTAGTCTCTCATTGCATTTCCAATGTAAAATAAATGAAACTTTTACTTTTACTTTTCCATTCAACTGATATTATATTCAAAGTTTTTGACACTAATTAATCATGATTCCTATGCACAAAAATGAATGTGAATGAACAAATGTTTGATCACTGGGAATGATTATAATTCATCATGACAATGATGCAAAAAGGTTGAGACTAGTAAAAACTGAAGAGCGAGAGAGAAAAATATTCACTCTTCATGCGATTCTTTACTTTTGAAATTCAAAAATGAATCTCAATGAGAGAATAAATCTGTTTGTTTTTCCATAAATCAAAAAATCTATTTAGTCAAATTAACTTATCAATATAAATATTCATCGTTTAAGTTCAAGTATCACTAGAATAATTGTTTGACGTTTTTCTTTCCTTTTAGGTTAGAGTTTCATCCTTTTCATCATTCATCTTTTACGAATCAAATAAATTGATGAAAATTTACATAATTCAATTATCGTTGCGTTTTCAATTCAGTTTCAAAATGCATACAAGTTTATTCTAAATGCATTTTAGATCAAAAAAGAAAATATTTTTACTTTTTGTAACAAGCTTAACTAGCCGCAATCTTCGCAGCCTGATTGCAATTGTTAGCTTTAGTTTTGTTGTATATTGTGAGCGATCGCTGTCTGAAAACCGTCGCTCGTGTTCCAATGTATGCTACGATAAAGAAATATCTGGTGGTTTGTCCGAAAATTTGGCGATCCAGAGACAAAGTCAAACTCACATTATCGTTGGTGCAAACTAGTGGTTGGCCAACTGTCAAATCAAGTATTCATGGCGTCTGCAGACTGTCCTCCTGATTGTGTCGAGTCAACAACCGGTACTTCACGACCGTATTATAATAGACACTTCACTCATTCGAACCTTCATTTGCTTTTTCCCATTACAAAAAATCCAGTGTTATGTATAAATAACCGCCTTAAAGGAAAGACAATTGCTTAAATACTTTTTGTAAGCTCGCTTTTGCATCTGTGCACCTGTGTTAGATACTCAATATCATATTTTTCGAGGTTAGATTCGTCAGATCAAGCTTTCAATGCTAGTCTCATAAACTTGGCTCGGCTCAATTAGGGTAAACTTTCACGCAGCTAATATCAGCTAAAGTCAGTCAACTGGTTGGCTTCAAGACTAATAGATAGCTTTCAACATGCCATAATTAAATCTTATAACACGATTCACTTGTCGTGAAAACGCTATAAACTCTGAAATTCCCCGGTCGCAAGTTTAAACTTTCAAACGAATGATGAAAATGATTGTATTACAGAAACTCGGGAAAATATTTCAACTTTATGTACCCTTTAGGACCAATCAAGATCTCAGTCAGATTTTTATCCATTTTGCCATCAACTTTAATAAATTTGCTGAGCAAATGAAAGAGACGCTAGGCTCTTGGACGAGACTTGAATCTCGATGAACAGAAAGTGGACGAAAAATGAAACTTGAATTAAAAGACTAAACACTTTTACCAATAACTCGACCATTTATAAAACAAAAGTTTAATTGGAAAAGTCTTTACAGTCATTCCAATGCTTCATCAAAGTGCTTATAATGTTTATAATGACAATCAACTGAATAACCATTATAAGCACCTTTATAGCCAACATCATAATCAACAATATTAACCATTAATTCTGTCAACATATTTAATCTTCATTTAATCACTCAATTCTGTCCAACAACTTGCAATACATATTTTTGTTTTTATTTTTACCTTTTCTTCTTCTTCTTCTCAACATAAACCATCATAAGCTGATGATATCATGATAATTTAAACCCAATATTCGATGTCCATTATATTCTGGTTAATTCCTTCTTCTCTTTACCGTCCATTTCACCATTAATTTCATTTACCTTTTAGCCTTTTCCCTTTTCCAGCCAAATTCATACTCTTATCCAGTTTCCCAAATGGCAATTTTTTGCTTCTTTTCCTTCTTTCCCATGTTCCAGATTATTCATTATTTTCATGAAAAACTTTTCATTGAAACTCCTCTCAATCCCTCAAGTCTCATTTAACCCTGTAAATGGTTTACTCAATTGAATGCCATCAAATACAAATTGACGTCGAGTTCAAGGTAGTTCAGAGTATCTTTTCTTGACTTTCATTCTTCAACTTATTCCATGAAGAACTGGAAAAGTTATTTTCAGAACTTTTCGATTTACCTTCATTTTCTTCTGCCTTTTGATTGACCATTATAAGGGTTTATACAACATGAATGATTCAGATTGATTCTTGAGTTTATTTTGGGAATCAAAAGATCGACCAAAAATATTCTCAACTTTATTCAAGGTTCAATGTCTAGTCTCACCTGCCAATTTAACTTTTCGTTCAACATTAATTTTCGTTTCAATTTTTGGTCTAAAAAAGTTCCACTAATTGTTCGATTCTCAAGAGATGAAATTGAAATTCAACTCTTCATGATGTAAATTTAATAACTTTCTTATAAACGTAATTCAAGTAAATAACTTGTTGAAACTTTTCATCGGTCAATCAGATTACTTTTTTTCTCTATTCAACCAATTCTGCAGGGAATTGACTGGACAATTTGAAATGAATAATAACTTTGATCAGAACAGTTTCATGTTGCAAAAGTCTACAAGTATTACAACTGAACATTTATTGTTCAGTCATTCAAGGATCACAAGAATTTTTCTGTCAAATGCAAAATCTTTGAATAAATAGAAAAGGTAGGAAAAAATCAAAAAAATTGTTTCCTTGAAAAGAGGAAAAAGTTGATCGATTCCGACATTTGAATAACACTTGAGCAACATGAGCAAGTTGATCAAGTTTACCAATTCAATTTGACTGCATTAATTGAACTAAACTGTTCGACTAATTGCGTTAAATATGGAAATTCACGAGAAAAACAAGATTATTATGATTCTTCAGGGAATCGAGAGTTGAACCTTTATTCTGATAACAAACCACTTGATAGTAATTCATTATTATCATGATTAGGACAAGATTGAAACTAATATTTGCTTTATTATTAAACACAAAAGAGTAAGCAAACACATTGAATGCTAACAGGATTATCCATCATGTTTGTTTTATTTTTATCCTTTTTTTGTTCTTCATTCATTTTCACCTCAATAACCATTGATAACCTGTAAGAATTGTAATGAATCATGTTTTCCTCTTTTTCCTCGAGAAAAAAAAACTCGATGAAGTTTCGAGACAAACTCACGCATCGACTTGATAAAAGCCGAGCTTTTGGCAAAAGAAGAAAAATTATTTTCGATTCTTCATGATTCAAGTAATTTTCAAAAGAATAACTTGAAATTTCGATTAATTGCATTTCATTTCCGTCTAAATGACTGAAGAATTGAAGAGGGAATAATCTTAATTCAGAAGATTTTCTACATTTTGTTCAGAAGAATGGAATGATTAATCATTTATGTCTATTGAATTGCAATCGGATTAACTTTTATTGTTCACTAACCACAAAAAGTTTTTAAATCTTGATTAAGAGCTTTTTGATTCTCAATTTTGTTGAACCTTTCATTTGATACAAAAGTTAAAACTCAAAAGTCGATTTGCTTTTGCTTTTGAAAGTGATCTTTATAGATGTTTCAACCGATTATCAGTCCAATTGGAAAAGTTCAATTTTGGTGAAATTTTCTTCTTCTTTTTATTTTCTGGAAATCGATTGAATGTTTAATTGAAATTTGTAATTATGGAAGTTTTCAACATTTCGCTCGAAGCTAATTTGATGGGAACTAATTAGAAAACTGTCAAATTTGTCTATTTTTAATCTAAATTTCAATTTTTCTTTTTCTTTTCAGTTTTAAAGTCATTTTGACCTGATTGGAGGTGAAACTGTTCAATGTCATGTTCCAATCAGATTGCTTTGAAAAGTTATGGCAAAGGAAAGGTTGGAAAGTTGAATTTAAAAGACATTGGTGGACCTACTTTTATCGTCAACAAGGAAAGTGATCGAACGAATGGCTGTTCTAATAGCTGGGAATCCAATCCCAATGAGACTAGTTTATCGCACAATGATTTGTCAATCATCTTGAATGACGATGAAACGCCGAACTGTGATTCCAAGTTTCGCTCTTCACTGACTTCCACAGCTTTTTACTTTAAACGTAAGCGAACTTGGCAAATAAACTTGCGCCGATCGACGAAAAGACAAAATTCACTTGAGAATGGCGTCTCATCTAGCAATCCATGTTCACCAAGCTCACCGGTTGACGGTCAAGTTGAGGGTTCATTCAGTGCCAATAGGAGTGATCGTAAACGGTTCAAGGAACCACTTCGTTCCAGTGTAATAAATGTTCAGCCTTCCAACAATAGGACTTTATATTTTGCACCCGATGCAGGGGCGAGTGATTACATTGGTGTTCATCTGCCCAAATTGTCCAATGAGTTTAACGATGATCACCTAGAGTCGGGCTATCAAAAGTATTCTCAGCGTCAAAGACAAAAGTCGCTTGTTCTTGTCAACTTGCTTGATATACTTCTTAAAGTTTCCCTTTTCATTAGCAAAACAAGTTCAGTGAAAAGTCAAGAAGATTTACTTCCGACTTTATCCACAACAGACCAGAATCCGGATAATATTGAATCTTTTGAGCCTTTATACGCACTTCCCTGGTTGTTTAACAATTGTCTTATAATCATATTCATAACATGTTGGAATTATTGTGCCAACAATTATCTTCACATAGCTGCAGGTGCAACCCTGGCTACATTCAATATGGAAGGTAAATATTTCACCATGAAAAGGCTTTCAAATCCATTCTGAACCATTTAAAGAGAAAAGACTGATTTCTCAAAACTAATCTTGTCACTTGTCATGTTTAACTGACGAAATTTAATGAGCCATTAGACAATCGAGAATCAAAATTGTCGAAAAAACTTTTTCTTCGACAATGATTGCTCCTGGAACTGAATCGATAGTTTTTTTCTTTTCTTGTTCAACAGATTTTCAAATCGTTAGTTCATTAATACAAGAGATTAGACTGTGTAAAGCTCTTGTTTTTGGTTTTCATTTCAACTTTAATCGAGATTTTGTTTTCTTGAAAAAAACCGAAATCTCTTTTGTCATCTTGGTTAGTCAAATCGATTGATTTAACCATTTTGTGAACACTTTTTACTCCAAATTAGATTTCAATTTGTATTCAAACTTGTTCATTTCACAAACGTCGATGATAATCTTAAAATGAACAATTCATATTTGATGAAGAAGCAAATTTATTTTGTCAAAAATTCACTTTTATTCAACTGCCATTGTTTAAGTTTCACTTTTTTCCCTCTATTTATCTTTTTCAAGTCTATTCGTTACATTTGTTCATCTTCATTTATAATTCCCAATAGATACGATTATTCTGAAGATTCAAAAGATTTTCAGCTACAGAAATAGCTACAGTTTTCCATTATTCTTGTTCAGTTGAATTTCCTCTTTTTTTCTCATTCCTTTCACTTCCATGTCTTTTTGTTTACTCTTTATCAGCATCTTATTCTGTTGATTCTGTTCACATTTTTTACCTTTTTTCTTTCTGTTTATACTTTTGCTTCCAATGCTACTCAAAACTCATTCATATCGTCCTTGCAGTTGTTTGTTTTCAATTCAACAATATCAACAACTAAACAAGGAAAAAAACATGCAATAAAAAGTGCATAAAAATACACAGAATAACAAAAATCTTAGAATTCCTTTGCATCTTATTGTATTTTAATACGTAAACATTACAACAGACTAACGAGTTCTGAGAAATTTCGCAAACTTTTCGAGTTTAGGCAAAATCACATTCGAAATTTTCATGCCAACGAACATTTTCACATGCTTCATTTCTTATTTTACTTTCCCAGCTCTTCTTGGTTTCCAATTTGATGAGGATTTCAACAGTTTACATTTGCCTAAAGGAGGAATAGTCTGGCCAACAGTGTTTATTGTTTTCATCACTTTTGCCATGATGCCCTTACCGCTTCGTTGGTGTGTCCTTTGTGGCCTAATGACCTCTATACTTGATATAACATTCATGTGCCTCACTTTCATTTTTGATAATCAAGACAGTTCAACCTTCGCTCGAAAGGTAAAGTCTAAATTTCCAAACTTCATCGCGAAGTCAAACCCTCAAGAGATGGTTAAACTCAACCTAAACCCATCACTTGCTACCGACAACATTAAGGTTGACATTAGCCAAGTCACAGAAAGTCAAGTTTCTTAACCTTTACTTTGAAAGAAACATTTCCTTTGTTAATATAAATTGATAATTTTTAGCAAATTCAATAAAATGTGAAATAATCGAATCCTTTTCAGGGTGAACAAATTTTCACGGTGAGAGAAGCAATTTGTCAAATTTTCATCTCAATCTTTCTTTAACATCTTCTTTCACCGGAAAATTAATGATTCGTTTAAAAGTAGAGTTAGTTGGGAATAATGTTGATAATAATTCAAAGTTGCAGTTCATTTAGTTTTTCCTATTATTACTGGGAGTAAATGAATGTCGATTTTGTTGTTAAAGTTAACAAAAGGTTTAAAAGGTTAAGACTAAAATGAGCAAAAGCTTGAACACTCGACTCTTTTGTTCACCCAAAAAGGGAGTGTTGAGTTATCGAATATTAGAATTTATCGAAATTTTTTACTCGCAACATTATTCCATCATGATTATACAATTGCTTTTTGTCCCAAAAAACTTGTCCATCCAAAGTTTTTCTCAGTGAAAACAAAACAATCGATCAAGTTCAAGTGTACCACAGATGAGAATATCAAATGTCAATGAAAATTGATTTGCCAAATTTCCTATTCTGATATGATGATTAGAATAACATGAAAGGCAGAATAATGGTTACATTATCATGAATCAGTTTCATGAATTTTTCATCAATTTCATTTCTATTGGTCAGTCAACAATAGCAACTGCTCCATTAGACTAATTGAAGTAACCTCAGTGAAGGGCATGAAATTGATTGTCCAGTAAAGATTGAAAAATGGTCCAAGCTTCAGCTGTTGAAGCAGAAAAATTTAAAAGTTTATTCAGACAACCTCTAACTGTTGAACATTTTGTCAAGTATGATTCATTCGACGATTTTTATCGGAAAATGAACTAACATGAAGAGACATATTCCTTTCCAAAATCTATTGCCAGCCATGTTCTGCCTCTTATCTGTTATCAACTTTTATCAACTTATCTCTTTTCGAGCTTCTTTTTTTGATGTAATATTTTTCACTCCCAGTGATTGTGACAATTTCAATTATTTTATCCTGTTGCTACAACATTTTTAGATCTCTTTGACATGGAATTAATTTTTGCACTCACATTTATCGTCAACTACTTTCCACTCTTATCAGTTGATCAGTTAATGCAAGGCCATGTAATATTTCAGAAATTCCAAGGTTCAATCAGATAACTGAGATTCTTAATAAAGATAGATTCTTCCTTTGATCATCAATTTTCGTTGTCAGAACACAAACGATAGAGAAGAGAAAAAATCGAAAAAAAAGTCAAAAATTGTATCAAAACTCCCAGCTCAAGATATTTTTCACTCCCAAGTTTCACTCCCTTTTGGAGGCAAAAAAAACTTTTTCCAAGAGAAACTTTTTCTCTCTCATAAAAAAGTAATCGTTTGCATAACAATTATTTAATCAGATTCAGAATAAATCTTCATTCATGAATAATATGTTTCTTAACTCTTTGCCCTCTTAATAATCTTTATTATGCTTTCCATTTGCATTCAATATTATTTATTGTTACTTAAGAGGAAACCTTTTCATTTCTCACCATCACTCACTGGGAGGTTAAAATGTTTCAGACTCAACCATTAGAATGAATAAAATATTGTTATCATTATGATTGCTTTTATCAACAATAATATTTAAATTTTGAAAGCGATTAACGAATCATTCAGGAAACTTTATTATTTGACTAACTTTACATTTCAATGTTGAACTTTAAACACCTTCTGCTAGAAGTTCAATTAAAGATGAATCAAGTAGCAGAACTCAACAAAAATTGATGAAAATTTTTCTTCTTTAATCATTTTTCCCTCCTCCAGTTGACTGCAAATATACTTATATATTCATGCATCAATTTTGTCAGCTTGTATACTAAATATTTAACTGATTGTGCACAACGAAATGCATTCCTAGAAACGCGCCGTTCCATTGAGACGAGATACAAAATTGAACGAGAAAATGGAAAACAGGTAAGTTTGAATTTTCATTTTCTTCCATAACATGATCTTTTCAAAGACACTAGTGATTCCTTGAAATGCCAAGGTTTTTCTTCTTCGATCTCTCAATTGTTATAAAAAAACTTTTGAAACATTCGTTCACAGAATTAATCGTTTTAAAAATGAAATGTGAAACTTGAAAGGTATCATGAGCTACTTGAGCATGTATTCATGAGAATTTTTTAAATGTTATTTGCCATCTTTTCCGAGACTAATGAGTAACTGTCAAAATGCCATTTCTTTTTTACTCAGCCTTATCGTTATCATCCATAGTTCCTTACATATTCATTCATCCTGAAACTCTTGCAGCTTTTAATAACTTGCATGATCTTATCGAGAATTATTATAATTAGACAAATTGAAGGAAAATTTTGCTCGAAATTTCATCTCAAGAAATGAAGAAAATTGGAAAAACGTTTTAAAGGCAAATATTGGCTCGTCATTTGGAAAACTCAAGTTCGAAAAATTTACTGGTTTCGAAAAATCTGGTTTTTCTTTTTCACATTTTTTCTTCATTCTCCCGTTCAGTGAAAAGTTGAATTTAAAATGTTTTGACCTTAAACTTCATTCATCAAGTAATGTTTAAATGCTGTTTCGTTGGATTGATTAATGTTCAACTTGACTTTTGAGGAATTTTTGTTTAGATCAAATTTTCTTCCTTGTATCATATTTTTAGATTGCTTTGACTTTCAACTTTAAGTCGAACATTTTTTATTAACTTCTTTTTCTCCTTCTTTTTCCATGTAATATGAACATTGAACAATGAAATATAATAAAAAAAAGTCACTCAAAGTGTAAACATTTTATAACAACAAGTTTATCAGTTTTGCAAAACACGAAACTCAAATAACATTTTAAAATTAACGTTACAAGTTTTTTTCCTTTTCATCGTTATTGTTAATCAAAAGGCTTTTCATTGAATTTTGTTTCAAAAGATTGAAAATGATTATAATATTAACTATAATAACATGAAACGAACTGACGATAAAGTGGAATCTTTGGTACAACTTTTTTCTTGCTGATCATTACAATTCAGTTTGCTATTTGAAATGATAATTTGACGAGAAAAGTTGATGAAAAAGTTTACCTTCTTTTGCTTTTATAATCTTTAAGCATTGATCATTATTTTTTATTCAGATGACATGAATTAATAGTGATGATAATGAGGTGAAAATGTTTTGCATTTGTAAAAATTCAAAAAGAACAAGAAAAATGTCAACTTTTCAAGTTTTTTCAAGTTATTACTAGACAAGGAATTGTTGATGAAATGTCGTTGAGAGTAAAATTTTGACAACTTTGTTAGTCTCCAAGCTGTTTAAATGTTATTAGAGCAATTAGTTGATGGTTAAAGTGTTCATTATGACAAAATTCATTTAATTATTACCAGTTTTTTTAACTTTTTTTCACTCCAATTTTCAAGTTGCGCTTCTCTCAGCTTTTCATTAAATACACTTTTAATCAACTATTGAAATACTTTTGTTGATTCGCTCATCAAGTTGATGATTGTCATTTGAATGATGAAAGCTTGTTCAAAACATGACAATGTTCATGATTAAATGTCAGTCAGCCTTTACACTCTCTCGTTAGATCCAAGCATAAGTTGTGATTGTCAGTAATTAAAAGCTCGCAAGGAAAGTCATTAAATTCTTGTTAAATTTTCAATCAAACGTGATTCTCGCTGCACTTGAAAATGCAAAATTGAACGAATTCTCAATGGAAACTTTTCTTTTCAAACTTGTATTAGAGCTTCTCGGGCTTCACTTTTAGTCGTTGACTATTCTTAGCTCAAGATACTCTTGGCCCAACTGAGTTGAGTCTTAAACTTGCGAATTGAAATAAGATTATTGTTTAAGGATAGTCACCGACTATCACTAGTATGAACAAATGTCAAGTGTAAATCGATAGGAGATACTATGTACTCCTAGACCAATATGTAAACCAAGTTGGAGCTCAATACAAAATCCAGGAATCAAATGAATAAGAAGCATAAAAGTCAACTTCAACTCAACGGGACGTTAGAATTGTCCGAAGCTAGAGAAAGCTGATGATTGTGTCTTACTGTGAAGTTTTAAAACTTGAGAATTGAGATTTTTCAAAAAATAAATTGCTTTTGAATGAATAAGAAAATTTACATTGAAAGACAGAGAATTTTAAGGTTGTAACTGCTTACTTGTCACTCGAGCTTCAACTCAGCGAACGTATTGACGCTGGTATTACTCCTTAGAAACGCCATAATGACATTCGAGCCCCTGATACATGTAAGAAATATCTTTTTGTTTCTTGTTCTTGAAACTAAAACTTCGATTCTTGATGCAATTCAACAATAAGCTCTTTACGAGCGTCAGCAAGTACTTCAAGATTTCACGAAAGTAAAGATCTTCCTTTGATGAGGCTCATTTCATTTGGGCATCCAAGAGATGATTCATAAATCTCGCAATTCTATTTTTCGCTTTCATTGTTTCATTTCAATATTTCATTTTCATTGGAGATCAGTATACATTAGTGCATTATTAAGAGATCCGTTTGCTTGTTCCATCCAATTCATTATACATGACAGTCCAACTGAGAGTGGACAATAGAAACTACAAAAGGAAGAAAAAAAACATGGATTATCGGTTATATTATGAAACTTGTAAGAAATGGACAGAAAAGGAAAATTAATGAATCGAAAAGATCATGTTGATGGAAGAAAAGTGAATAATGAAACCAAGTATTGTGATGATAATTATAGCACAAAGTAATGAAAGATGAAGGAATGAAAAATCAGCATCCCAAGTAATTAAATTAATTAGCATAATGTAATTGACAATTTAATAAATGTGCTTCTCTCGTCATTTTAATGCTAACCTTTATTCATCATATTCATTCAACGCCAAATGATGACACTTTTTTGTCTTCAACTTTGTTTTCTTTACTTTTTTGGCATTCACCTTGACTTACCTGGTTTTGAATATCGTTTCCAGGAGAAACTTTTACTCTCACTTTTACCTCGATTTGTGGCTTTAGAGATAATCAAAGATATTGCCGAAGAGGAAGATCACAGGAAACTCCTTTCAGCTCAATTTCACAAAATTTATATTCACTGTTATAAAGATGTTAGGTAAGAATTGGATAAATTACAGAATCTAGAAAATTGGCTTCGAGTTCAACTTTTCTCAACTTTTCGTCTTCCTTTATTCATCATTAATTTATCCAAACACATTTTTCATTTCTTCAACTTTTCATGTTCTTTTCATTTCATTAAACATTTTTTTCCTCATTACTTTTCATAATCTTTTTACTTTTCTCTTTTTCCTGGAAAACTTATTTACTCTTTCTTAATTATTTATTATTCATTTGTTTTTGCATATTTTACTCAACCAATAATTGCAATTACTTTGAAGGTGAAAAGGTTCAAGAAAAGTTTTCTTTTGTTGCTAATTCTGATTCTGCTTGTTTGCCCTTTAAAGGCTCATTGAAATATTTTCATCATTTTTTGCTTTTCTTTATTCATCAGTATTTTATTTGCAGATATTCAAGGTTTTACAGCTTTAGCGTCTAGCTGCTCAGCTCAAGAGTTGGTCAGGTTGTTGAATGATTTGTTTGCCCGTTTCGACAAGTTGGCTCACGAGAATCACTGTTTAAGGATCAAGTTGCTTGGCGATTGTTACTATTGCGTCTCTGGTCTTCCCGATCCAAGAAAAGATCACGCTCATTGTTGTGTCGAAATGGGCCTCCATATGATCCAAGCAATCAAGTAAGTTTCACTCGAGAAAACGCTTTCCTGTCCAGTCAAAAATCTCATCATTTCCTCAGTCGAAATAAAAAACAAACGTAAATTTTATTCACCTAAAGTGTTGAACAAGGTCAAATGGACACATAATCTTGAATAACCCGAATAACCAAATCTAGAGTCTATTCAATTAGTCTCTCTCTTTGAGTCATGCAAGAAAAACTAATTTAATTTAAAAAACTCCCAGTAAATAAATGAACTCCCAGAGCATAGAATCGAGGTTTTGCATTCTTGTTCAAAACATTTATTTTAGTGACAATTTTAAGCTTCTCGCTGTTTCATTGAGAGAAATTAATTGAAAATTTAATTCTGAAATTCATTGTTTCTTTCGGTTGAGTTGAATTGACAATTTTAAAGTAACTCGACAAAAATTTAAGTGAAAATTCAATCTTCTTTTTTCATTAATTTCTCATTTCAGGCGTGTTCGTAAGAAGACTGAGTTTGATTTAAACATGAGAATTGGAATTCATAGTGGGTCAGTTTTATGTGGAGTTTTAGGACTTAGAAAATGGCAATTTGATGTTTGGTCAAATGATGTTACACTAGCCAATCACATGGAATCAGGTGGACTTGCTGGGTAATGTAACAAAAAAAAGATTCAAACGTTTTTCATTCTAATTGTCATTCCTTTTTGTTTGTGTGTTTATTGGCTTCTCAGTCGGGTTCACATCTCAAAGGCAACCCTCAACTACTTGGGTGACTCTTATGCAGTTGAACTTGGTGATGGACAGAGTCGAGACAATTATCTTCGTAATCATGAAGTTGAAACTTTTTTAATCAAACAAACTGAACCAACACACATGAAGAGAGTGAGTAATGATTACAAGGTTAAATCTGTTGACATATAATCATGCATCCATAATCAAATGATTTATGCATCATAATTCATGTTCAACATTTAACTTGATAACATAATTTGATTAACCACATTTTCAGAGGAAAATTAATTTTCGTTTTTTTTCTCTTCCTTCGATACTCATATTCATTCAGGTTTATTCAACTCATGGACCTATTTTCTCATGCAAAGAAAGAAGCTCCAGTCAAGATTCTACCTCAGTGTTTCCAGAGAACTGCAATCCACCCAAACGTCATGGTAAATGTTCAGTGAATACATTAAATTCAGAGCCAATCAACTCAACCTCAAGTGCAGATGAAAATAGGCGAATATTTAGTTCTACAAGTTCACAGAGTGCCGATGATGATGGAACCCTTGAATGGACTCCTGAAATACCCTTTGGAAATGTAATTGAATTTATTCTTTATTTCAATGTCCATTGAGAGTAATCATGAAAAAATACTTTTTTCGCTTCGTTTAGTTCAACGATTTACGATATTCACTTGACGATGATCCATTTGAAGCTGAACCTGGAAAAGTGACTTCAGGTAAAGCAACTTCTGGTTCAAAGTTGAGAAAAGGTTTTACCTCACGCAAGTCTGGACATGCTAATTTGGTTTCACCTTCTGTACCCGAGACTGGCCTTGAGATCAGCACGATTGAAGGCGAATCAAAGAACCTTTCAATTAAACGTAACAATGAAACTGTCCTTACGGTTAGTCAACAAGTTGACGAACTTATTGATCATTCCATCGAGATTGAGTCAAACAAGAAAATGATTAAGGAAAATGTTACCTGGTTCACATTGTCATTCAAAAACTCAGACATGGAAACCAAGGTGAGTCAAAATGCAAAACTTGGTTCAATTGTTCAAATTAGTGAAACAATTCTTCAACTTGAAAAACTTTATTGAATGCAAATATCAAATACAAACAAAATTAGTGATTTTATGTGATCTTTACTCGTCAAAACTTTCAACAACAATAATGCAAACAAAACAAATGAATCCTCCTGGCTGTCGAACATAAATCGAAAAATGAAAATCTTTAGGCTAAAAGCAACTTTCATCATTGTCAATCGATATTAAAGTTGCCAATTTTAATCACGATAAGCTAAATGTAACCTAAATGATTCACCTATTCAGCTAATTGGTTTTCTGAACTTTGATTACACTTGGAAGAAGTATAAGTGATTCATCATGTTAATATCAACCTTTTCAGTTTCTCCTTGTAAATGAAACTTTGATAAGATGCACTTTAGTTATCAGTTGACTCGATACTGTTTTTAGACATTATCCGAGTGTTGGTTCACAAAGGCTACAAAAAACTGACTCGAATGTCAAACATATCAAACAAAATGTTTAAACGTTGAGTCAGTGAGTTAAGTCTCAGCTTTGCAACCATACTTCCACCGGAACCCAAAAACTTTGGTTTCCCAAAAGCTCCATTCAAGTCATGAAATTAGTTACTCAGAATGATTGAAGTTGGCATCTTTTATTGCTTTAATTAGGACAATATCTGATCCCCTTCGAACCTCCAACTTTCGTTCTTGATTAATGAAAACATTCTTAGCAGATGTTTTCACTGTGCTTTGTCTTGTGACGGTCCAAGAGTTTCACCTCTGCAAATTGTTAAATAAACTTTGAGTCACATCTGTAGTAAGTTTATTATGACAAGTTTCAATTTGAACTCATTGTTCATCGACTTTTATCTAGTCTAACCTTGCCTAACCTAACCTTACCTAGCCTAACAAAAAATGACTCAAGGTTCATTTTTATGTGAACCAATTTATCAAGGTCTATTAAACCATGTTTAAACCAAACATTAATATTGCAGAACCATGGTCAACTTGTTACTCTCAGTTGAACGTTTAACTTGATTCAAGTTAATCTCTTGTTAAAATGGTCACTTTGACTCTAATAAATAACTTATCAATTCGTATCAACTCAACCAGTTCACCATCTTATTAATTTGTAATCATCCTTCAACACTCAACTTTAAACCATTCATTCCTGTCTCATTTCATTATCACTGAACAAAATGATTATTTAAATTGTTGAATCATTAAATAATAGTTTTTAAAAGACAAAATGAGCAATTTATTCATCATCAAATCTCTAATAAATACCAAGTCAACTATTGGGATGAAAATTTGCAAAAAATAATGAATCAACTTAATTGTTGAATAAGCAAAGCTAATTACTGTTGCTATTATTGTTTTATATTGTTCAGTTTGTCATCTTCATGACATGAAATAATGAAGGAATAAGATTTAGAATAATGAATTGAGGAGAAAAAGAGAAAAAAAATTCTTCTCATGTTTATCTTTATTATTTTGTTCAACTTTTTTTTCATCCAACAGGGTAAATTGAATAACATAATGAATTCAGTTATGAAGTAATCAAGATGATTTTCTTATCCTTAATTGTCTTTTCTCATTTTTAATGCAACGTCTTCCATTCATTGCAATGTACATTTTTTTCTTGTTCAATCATTAATAGTTTTTACTCTGCTACTGATTAATTAAGATTTATGGTTAAATGATTTAATTAAAGGATATTGATTGTTCATTCATTGTTAGTATTCATTGAAAGGAAAAATCATTTATCTGATTAATACATGATGCTAATACTGATGAGTTGCGATCAAATTTGATAAAAGTCCATTAATTACATGAAAGGTGTAAATGCTTGACCCTTGATTGGATGAGAATGTTAATTGGGCAAAAGAGTTAAATTGTTTCACCGATAGTTTCTCAACCAATTCAAGATTAACTTTGTTTCTTTTCAATCCACAGTTTCATCAAACTAAGGACAGCGTCTTCAGGTCAAATATGCTTTGCATAGCTGTGATATGGCTTTTGCTTTGTGGCTCTCAGCTGATTATTTTTTCTCGGTAAGTATCGATTCAAGTTAATTTCAATTTATGAATAGCGAAAACGGTTTGATTGGAAATCAATTTTCAATTATCTTTTTCAAGTGCTTGTCTCTAAGAGTGAAGTCATTTTTCAGAATCAAATAGGCCAATGTATAGCAATTGTTGGAGTGATTTCGGAGATGTTGGAGTGGAGTTAGGGATTAAACCGAAAAAAATTTCATTTTCTGTGGCTAAAGCCATCTGGAAAAGGATTGCTAATGTTATTCATAAAGCAGTTCACTTTCGATCTCAACTGTTAGGTAAAGATTTACTATTAATAGTATCACAAAAAGGCCAAACCATTTGAAACTTACTTGAAACTCATAAACTAGCTTTTTCACTTCCAATCAACCTTTAAATTTTTCAATTTAACGATTTAATCATTTTATAAATACATTAATAACCTAATATGAACAAATCTAAAGCTTATAAGCACGAAAATACTGTTTCTATGAAATGTCTTGTCAAGTAGTTTCCCTATTAAAGATACTTGCAAGGGAAGCTCTCATGATTCAGGGCAAAACCAGACGATTAAATGGTTGAAACCAGGCAATTTAGTAACCATCATAAGTCGACTATAATTATCATGTAAAATTGAACAATTTCACCTCAAGATGTTGATAATGATTGAAAAGGAAAACTGTTTTCGAACTGAAAATTAATGATCATTTTTCACTTGTTTTACCTCACCTTCAGCTCTCTGGTACTTGTTACATTATTTATAACTGGTTCACTGATTATGGGATTAAGTCTGGCAATTACTTTATCCTCTGAATTTGATTGGTGCTGTAAATCCTTTCAGAAACTTTCACATTCCCTGGACGAGTCAAGATTATTTTGTAATCTATTAAGCTGCCTACTAATTATCATCATTTTTTCAACCACTTCATCAACCATTGTAAGTTTGTTCAACAGAATTTTAAAATTTAAAGAAAATAAAAAAAATTCTCATTCCATTCAACAGTTATTCTGTGATTCAATTGCTTACCAGTTCGATATCAACTCGACTGAACTATCATCTTCTTCTTCTTCCCCTTGGTCACCTGAACTATCAAGACAATGTTACATTTACAGAGAGGTTGGCATCAATACTGGATAACCTGAATTCGAATAATGAACTTTTTCCTTTCTTTCTCTCTTTAGTACTTTATCTATTCTTGGTTATTGACGATGGTTGCAAGCACAGCATTCCTGAAGCTTCCATACACATTGAAATTTATCATTCTATTTACCATGACTACAGTCTATGTTTTCATGATTATCTTTATTCTTAATAATCTTCCATCCATTCAGAAAGATGAGTAAGTTTCAATTGTCTTGTTTATCCATTCATCGACTTCAACAATTGGTTCACTCAATAGTTGACAAGTTATTTTACCTTATCTGATATTTCACTCCCAGTTATTCAAAACTCTAGTTGACTGTTGATACCTTGTGATGGCATTATTATGCCCATTGTTTGAGTTAAAATGAGAACATTTTTTTCTCTCCATTTTTACTGAAAAATATTGGATTCTCATAGGAATGCTTAGCTTAACGGTACAATAAATGGATGTTTGATTCAATCGTATTTATCATTAACAAGCTTCATGTTTATTATTTGAAATTTCAATTTTTTTGTTTTCTTTTTTTGCCAATCCAATTCTAATTCTTTTGTCAGCAATTCAATTTTTCTGTCAACTCAGGTAAAAATGAGCTTTTATTTTCATTATTTTTCTTTCCCTTCTTTACTTGAGTTTGTTTTTATCATGGATTTGCAAATTGAAAATGAACAGAAAAAAATGTAATACAAAAAACTGAGAAAAAAACTGGAAAATAATGAAAATACATTTTTCCACTTTTTGTTGCTTCTCTTTCCTTCTTAGACGACTTTTTACTTCCAAGCCAAAACCTTTGATGTTGATTGTTTTATACTTTTTCGTTGTTATCTATCACTGTCGATTGGTATGTATTGCTGGTTGTTTGTTAACATTAACATTGTTTCATTAATATTTTTTGTTCAATTTCCTGATTTACAGATTGAACGAACTTCTCGGTTAGACTTTTTATGGAAACTTCAAGCACAAAAAGAGCTTCAAGATATGCGAGAGTTAAGACATTACAATACACAATTGTTGAAAAATATACTTCCAGATCATGTTGCTACTTATTTCCTAACACATGACAGAACATCAGATGTAAGTATTCCAAGATATCATGAAATAATCCTATTACAATACGCTTCAACAATTCTTAAGCTGAAAAGGGTTTAGCAAAAGTGAGGAGAAAAACATGAAAATTTCGACGCTTTTTTCATCAACTAAGACGACATCATTTAGTAGTTAAAGCTAGACTTTCTGTAAATTGTCTGTAACTTTTCTCTTCACTAAAATTCTGGTCAATCTACATGAACCTCAAACCAAATTCAGTGAAAATAGTGGTTAAGGTTGAACTTGAAACTCGTCAAAATGTCTATTTGGATCAATCAGCCAGCTGAGTAAATGTAGATGTAAATGTATGTCTTTTCACATGTCATTGATGATAACCTGATGATTATTGTTAACTTTGTCCAATCAAAGTTGAAGTGTTTAACAGGAGTAAATCAAGGCTAAATCATGAAGGCTGATTAACGATAACCCGATGACTCTTGGACCTTCAGTCTGGATGTTCAGTTGAAATGTTTATCTTGATACTTTACTAATGTTTACTTTGAGAGTAATAAAGTCATTGTTTTAAGTATCAACCAGTTTTAACAGCAATAATGAAACAAATCCAATGCTCATTAGAATTGACTATAATCATGTTTCTAATTAATCATATTTTCTGTTGCTTTTCTATTTGCAGGAACTTTATTCACAATCTTATGCCTGTTGTTCAGTTTTATTTGCCTCCATTCCAAATTTTGCCAATTTTTATTCTGAAGACATTAATAATGGTCTTGAGTGTATAAGACTATTGAATGAAATTATATTTGACTTTGATCAGGTTTGTTGTTGATTCAAAAAATATCTTGAAATGAAATTGATTTTTGCTATTCCTTTCATTACAGCTTTTAGATGAAGATCGATTCCGTTCAATTGAAAAAATTAAAACCATTAGCAGTACTTATATGGCTGCTGCTGGTTTGAGTCCAAAAGATCAGGTAAATTTTGTAGTTTAACAATTGGTCAACATTTAATCAACAAATTTTCATCCTGTCAAACAGAGTAAATCAGCTGCTAATCATTTGACTGCTTTGATTGAGTATACATTTGCTATGAAGGAATCACTTGAAGAAGTCAATAAACATTCATTCAACAATTTTAAACTGCGAGCTGGTAAGTTGACCTGTAATAATCAATAGAGTGACAATTAATGAAAATGTCAACACAATGGTAAAAAAAATGTTTGTTGAAAGATGGAAACAAGGTTGAAAATTAGACACAAAATGGCTTGAATGTAATGGTTGAGAAAGCTCATTACAAGTAATCAAAAATAATAAATTAAATCAACATTGATTTAGCCAATATTTATATTATCAATTGATTTTCAGCTGAAAGTTAACTATTACTTTGCTTGGTAAGCTTATTATCATGAGTATATTTACTTTGCTTGATACAATGAATTATGTTAACATTATGTTTATTGGCATCATTTTGATTTTTATTTTGTGTTATTTTGTTTTGTCAAGCTCACAATTTGATTCAGGTTAATAGCAAGTTGATTATTTAGATGGATTAAATGATTAAAATGAAAAAAACCAAATGGTATTGTTGGTTAACATTAAACTGTTGGAACTGATTGTTGGCAAAATTAAACATTGGTTAGTTTCTTTAGGCTGTAATACATATTGGTTTTGGGTTCTTGTTGTTACACAAGCTGCTTTATGAACCAGATTGTTTAACAAATTGTTTAACATGCACTGTTAAATTGAGGTTTTCTGGTTAAACATTATCCAGTTGAACAGTTAAATTTGATGAAGCTTATGATTAGTTTACTATTGAAAGATTTAATTCAACTTAAATTAATTGAATTACTTTCAATGCAATTACATCTTTTAACCATCTCGTCTTCTCAATCAAATTTTCAAATTCAAAGGTTATTATTGAAATGATGGAAAGATGAAGACAAGTCTTGACATCATTTTCACCTTGACTTGAATTTAATTTCCAAAACAGATAAACATTTCTTCCTTAACCTTTTCTTAACCTTTACCAAGTCATATGTTAAGGAATGTTTTTACTCCAGTCTCTTTTGGATTTCATGAGGTAATTATTTTTGGCAAGGTTAAGGGTGATGATGATGGCGGGGATAATGTAATGGAGTCTCATGGAATCTTTTGACTTGAATAAAGCTTGAAAACCTTTTCCGTTGACCTTTTCAATGGTTTACTTTTGTCTTTTGTTCATCGCTTATTTTTGGGTTATAATGGGTCAATTTGTTTAATTTAATTTCAATCTCCTGGTGATGATTGATCTAAAAGAAAGAGAAGAAAGGTTTGAGATTAGACTGGGAATAGAAACATTGATTGATTATAATATTAACAATCTGATTTGGGAAATAATACAGAGGAAATTTGATTCTAATAGGTAAACTGGTTGAATGTAAAAATTAATTTACTTTTTTGTCTAATCTATTATATTATTACCTTTTGTCCTGGCTGTTCAAGGTTTGTCCTGGTTGTTTTTTTATTGTTATTCCTGATGATGATGTTGGTGAATGTTGTTGCCTTTATTTGTTGTATTTACTGTCATTTTACTCTGGCTTCATTATAATGTTATTATTGATCTCGATTTGAATGTAAACATTGATGATGATGAGAATGATGATGTTGGTGTTTATCATGTTAATAATATGGATAATAAGGAATGGATAAAGGTATTGGATGTTATAGTCAATATACTGACTAAGCTTATTGTAACTTCAGCTAAGAAGTAATTAAACAATAACATCTACTGAATAACACTTTACTTGTAATCAACATTAACGATGTTTCTGTAAGCTCAAACTTTTCTTAATTTCATATGTGAGGGAATTTTTTCTGCTTTTGAATGTAATTTACTCAATCTTGTTACCAATGATTCTAATAAAAATGCTGATCAATAGCTACGCTAGTATATAAAATAATGCCAATAATGATGAGAAAAATACTTAAATACTTTTCTCCTAACATCATTCTTGGCATAATACTATTCAAAAACCGAATCATCAGAAACATACGATATGTTGAACAAGTGAAAGGTGAAATGAAATAGCTAATGGTAATATCTATGATAAGTATTATAATGACCATTAGTTATGATGATCAAATCGAAGTTAATTTTCAATTTGAAATTCTAGCTTAAATTTTTGTTCCTATCCTTCTATGCTGAAATCTTGATTACGGTCATCATCATCTTCTTGCTTATAATTGACATCTATGTTCCAACCCGGGTTCTCCTGCTTTAGATATTTGTTTGATCCGATATTGGTTGCATTTCAATCCTTCCAATTGTTTTTGATCTATTTGTGTCAAATAATTAGCTGGTTTTGATAGTAAATCTGCAAGAAAAAAGGTAAATTATTAAATTAGGCAACATTATAAAGAGATGTATTTATGTTTAAGTGGTCAGTGTCCATCAAAAAAGAGTTAGTTGACAAGTAACATAACTGTTGGCGATTCAAATCAACAAAGTATTTACCTGGTTGATGGTAATGCGAAATTAATGTTCACCACTGTAAATATTTTATTCAGCTTTTTACTGAATAACACTTGATTGCAGCTTTACTTGTTATCAGAATTTTCGTCTGAATCAGTAATAAGAAAAAGATGGAAATGTTTCTCATGGGAAAGTGTTAGAGTATAAATATTGTAGGATAACCTTAGCTCTACTCTGATCAACAGCAATATCAAAATACTTAGCTAATTGACCTAGCCTTTTTCAACAATTATCCAACCATTAAGCTAACCTAGGGAATCGTTTGTATTTCAATTTAACTCTGTATCTGGTTGAATGGATCAAATTGATCTGTTTTTGGCATGATTTTTGAACTAATTTGAATACTGTTAAATAATTACAGCATGTTATTAGACTAATGTTTGATGCTGCCTTTCAATTTAAAATATTAATAGCAATAAAAAAAGTGATTGGCAAGAAATAATTTAGTTGCTTTTCGGATTTTCTACAAAATTAAATTTTAAAATTCAATTATCAGTCTAATTTTAGGTTGCAGTTTAGGTTAGCAAGACTATTGGAAAGGGCAAGTCTCCATCTTATGGTTGTAAAATAAATTAAAAAGTCGAATAAATTGATTGATAATTGAGATAATATTAGCCTCTAGCATGTTAATTATGATTCTGTATTGTCAACTAATTCCTTACATTTTATTACCTTGCAGGAATCAGCTTTGGTCCTTTAGTTGGAGGTGTTATCGGTGCTAAAAAGCCAGTCTTTGATATTTGGGGTAATACAGTTAACGAAGCTAGCAGAATGGATTCAACTGGTCAACTCGATCATATTCAAGTAATTGTTTGACTCTAATTGCTGCATATGATTGAAAAGCTAAATTTATCAAAAATATGTTCTCTATTTTCAGGTTCCAAGGGCCGCAGCTGAAATTCTGGAAGATGAAGGTTATCGTGTTCAGTATCGAGGTGTGATTCCAGTAAAGGGTAAAGGTGAAATGGAAACCTTTTATGTAACGGGTAAAAAGATTGAGAGATCAAAATCATTTGGCAAGCAAAATAACACACAGAATAGTCTGGCTGAAGTCATGTACGGAATGGTTCAAGTGCGTAAAAAACAAGCTCTGGGTACAGCTTTATCGGTCCCGGGTCCAAGGATAAAATCTCCTGGTTTATCGGCTAGTTTAACTATGAAGAAAAGCTCAAGAACAGGCCCAAAATTGAAACGCATGTTATCCGAAACGCCAAACACTCGTAGGAAACGTAATCGTTTGGAGGAAAGACGAATGACTGAGACTGGAGCTCATTCTTTTCCAGATGTAACGGACCAAAAGCCGGAAATTTGATCGATCAACATCTGAAACGAAAGGAAATGAAATTAGTTAATAAAATAAGCTATTTGACAATTAAAAGTTCAATCCATCTGTTGAAACGAGTATGCAGTGATGATGTATCAACATTGTTCTTGAGAAGAAGAAATGTTTACGTTAAAATATTGTATTCTGGATAATATAAAAAGAAATTAATTAAAAACAAAAGCTTCTAACCTTTCAATTTCTTATCTTTTCCTTGAAGTATTTCTCAATTGAGATGAAATATTCATCCATTCTCAATGGTGTGGCTAATGCTTAACAAATAACCGATAAGCATATTAGGATATTGGAAGGGTAAACAATTATCTTAACCCCAAAGGCAATAGTTTCGTTGATCTTTCGGATAATGGGAGACGAATACAAATCTTTTTAGGCCTTGTGAGAAAAAAAAACTAGACGCAAATAAGCGTATTCAATCCATCCAAATGCCTTATCAAGTCATAAAAGTACGTAGGCGATGATTAAAACGAACTTAAGCGAGATAATTGAAAAAATAAGCTGAGTTGATACATTTTTGGCTTAACTTTACACCGAGTAAAAGAATTCGACTGTAGAGACACATATTCAAAGCTGAGTAAAATTGAAATTCAAATAAAGATAAACAATCATGAGGCACAATTAAAACGAAAATTTGACCAAAGGATTAAAAGTTTCCTGGAAACACAATCTGAAAATGATCAAAATTTATTTTTAGCTTATTGTATGATTGATAGATGGCGTAACTTCTTAAAAGTGTATTTCCGGGGCTAGCGACGCATGAGTCTTTCTTTTGTCTAATTCAAGCCTGTAAAAAATTGCAAATTGGAAAAAAATATTGAAAATCTGAATTTTGATTGTAAATTTGTTATGAACTTATGAGGTTTTAGCTTGCAGTTGATCTCTGAGGACACTTCAATCAAGGTAAGAAACATTCTTTGTTTTAATTAGTGTCATTAGTGTCAATTACAATTAGTCTACTATGTGTTTTTGAAATTGTTTTAACCAAGAAGCCATCTTGGGTTAGTAAAACTCACCGTTAACCACTCTTTCTTGCTCCCTATTCTTTCTCTCACCCTCTCATATACACTCATCATTTAAGCTATTTATCTTTCTCTCTCATCCTCTCTTTCTCTATTTACTCTCTCATCTTCTTAGTTTATGCCTTTCTCATCTTTCTCCCTCTGTTAATCTGTGCCCTCACTAATCTTGTAATCTTCCATCTTCTATTGCTCCCTCTGATTCTCTCTCATTGTCTTTAACTCTCTCCATATCTCTCTTCCATTCTGGTCATCCTGTCTTAATCTTGTTCCACTGGGTTTTTCCTTAGTTTTCGTGTTCATCCCATAGTCCATTTTGTCCCGTCCGGTCTTTCAGACTATCATCACCATCATCGGCTTCATCTTGCTAACATTTAACTTCTGATCTTTTTTTGCTTTCATTCATTTCTCTCCGACCTCTCTTCTGGTTAACTTGATCTGTGATATTTTCATTTGTTTGGTTTATGCTGGTATTCATCCATCATCAGGAACATGTCCACATCAACTAAAGACCGAACACACGGTTCGGCAACCACTGACCGGCCTGCTAAAGTTAGCCCTAAGGTGAGTATTCGTTAGTGAAACATATCTATGTTATCATAAGATGACATGAGTGACTTCTGTTCATTTTTGCTCAATCACAATACTAATCCTCATTCTTTTTGATTATCAACAGCAAGTATCAGCTGAACAGAGGAGAATAGCCGATTTAATGACCGATAAAACTGATATTTCTGAACTCCAAAGCAAAGTTGAAAAGATTATCGAACTCACCAATGCCACTCGTGATGAAGCTGTTGTTGCTTTGCACGATTGTGACAATGAACTGGACAGAGCAATTGATATGATACTGGAAGGTGAATCTGTTAATGTGACTGAGTGGAGGAGTACAGGTAAAAAAAGGAAACCAAAAGTAGTTGCATCTTCAACTTCTCAAGCTGATAAAGAAGATAAATCTAACGCCAACGGTAGGTTTGATTGTCAATTGAGTTTTTTTATCATATTTATCAATGTTTTTTTATCATTTCAATTTCAGAGTCTACAAATGTCGGAGATAAAAAGGTATCTAGCAATAGAGGACGCGGTGGTCCACGTCTCCAGAGAGGTGCCGGTGGTAGTGGTAAATCTTCCAATTGGAAACCAAAAGAAGAAAAGAGTGATATGACTAATGAAAACAATGAAAATACGGCTCCAGAAATTAGCATTAATAATAAAAATTTACCTCCAAGACGCGGTGATAGTCGCAGAGGTAGAGGTCGTGGCTCCACACGAGGTAATTTCTCTAACAGAGGAACTGGTGGAGGACGGGGAGCTCGTTTATTCCAAAACAAAGGCTATCGTAACACGAATAATACTGGTAATAATAATAATGACGGTTTTCCAAACTCGATTGATACTTGGACCAACAGCACAGCTGACCAAGCTAGTACCATAACCAATAATGAGTGCACCACAATGCATGTTGGTAACTGGTCTGATTTCGCTACTAATGAAGATTGGAGTGAAGAAGACTGGGACTCTAGTGTAAGTTTCTATTCCGTATTACAATTTTCTATACTTTTACGCTGTTACTAATTGATTCTCTAATTTTATTTATTGCTCAGTTAATGGAAACTAAGGTTTTCACTCCAAGTACCAAGCCATCAAACGATAAGGAAGATACCGGTGATTTACCAGCTAACAACGTCACTAACACTACCAATCAAGGTCTTAACTTTGGAAGTTTATTAGGAAAACAAAGCAATGAATCGTCGAACCAACCAAGTCAACAGTCGATGAGCTCTATATTAGGCAGTAATGTTCCTCGAAGTAGTGCTACTAACTCCTCAGCCGGGGCTGCTTTATTACAGCAATTACAACAACAAGCAGTTTCTTCGCAATCATCCTCTCAAATCAACAAATTTTCTTTAAGTCAATACACTAAACAAGCAACTGAAAATATTAAGTCATTGGTTGGAATTCCTACAACAACTTATAATTCAAACAATGCTAATATTATGAATGCGGATAGTCTTGACAACCAAGTTTCTGACCTGTCACAACGTCAATTAGAGGGCCAAGGTGATAACCAATCTGGTAGTTTATCTTCATCAAAACCACCAAGACTCACTGTGAAAAGATCCAGTAAAATACCGGAATCAGCTGTTGAGATGCCATCCAATGACTCTATATCCGCGTTGAACGTGCAATTTGGCGCTATGCCTTTTGATTTAGGGCCTGAGGCCAATAATGCCTTCCATGATGTTGTTAATCATGTTAAATCTAAATCTAACCAAGTTAAAGCTGCTGGCTCAACTTCTGTTCCAGGTTCATCCAGCCTTGGCTCATCTGCACTATTGAATCAAACGGTTTCTGATAACGCATTCCGTGCAGCCAATAATGCTAATAACCAATCTGCTGGAAGTTCTGCTGCTAAATCCTTAGCTAATACAGCATCTGATCTAGTTTTACAAAATTCAGTCCTCGGACATCAAACAATATCTGCTGAAATTGGTTTAGATAGGAATAAGTCTGCTTCTGCAGCTAGCTACGGAACAAAAGTATTAGAAGGTAACCATAACAAAAATATTTATCAAAGCGGGGCAACTACTCAAGTTCAACCTTCTAAAACCTCAACAAGTGATATCTCCAGTTACAAAAATACATCTTATCCACAAGCAGACTCTAATTCTGCTTATGGATCGAATGTAAATTATGGTGCATCTACTACATCCACGCCTTATTATTCTGCGAATCAAACTCAAGGAGCGTATTCATCGGCTACGAACTACTCTAGTTTCCAACCAGTTAGCACGGCAACCAGCCATGCTAATGTAGCAGGCCAAAAAACTGGGGGTATTAAGGATTTGGATTCTTCGGCATCCAACACTCAACATAAACATAATTATGATCTTACTCAAGGAGTACCAAATGTTGTTCCCGGAGGCCTAGTATCAAATTCAACTGTAACAACAAATGTTCTGAAAAACTCTCTTACAGCAAGTAAGTATTGAACTCCCCATATTTCATCGCTGAGTTTGTTCGCTAATTTCATTTTTCTCTTTGTTTCTCCTTTATTCATAGCTGGTAAGGGAATACCTAGTGTTCCTCCTGGAGTGACACCTCTCATGGGAACTCAATATATTATGAGTCAAGCTGGACTGTCAGCTTTCTATCCTTTCTACGACGTTTCTTCTATTCCAACCGCGCCTCATGCTAGAGATCACAACTTTGCCTATTCTGCTAATACAGGTAAGATTAAATTTTTAATCAATCGAATTTTCAGTCTTCTAAACGACTTTTTCTAATTTCATACTCTTATGTCTTGTTCTATAGATCTGAAGTATAGCCGAGCTGATAATGATGGATCAAATGTTGTTTCTACACAATCACCAGTATCCCAAACTCATAATCAAGCTATTTTCGGTCAGATACCTCATGCTGCTTATAGCTTCTTCTACACTCCCGGTGTTAATATGATGCCACAAAGCTTATACGGTCCCGCAGCTCCAATCTTCCCAGTAACACCAGCGACCAACACTGGCTCAACTGGCTCAGCGTTCCCGAAAGGAACAACAGGTTATGGATCTCATTCTTACGCCTCTGCAGGTTATGATTCATTAGCTGCTGTTCCTCCCCCTTCAGATTATGTTAAAACGAATTATGGTCCATCAGCAGGTCAGCAACAAGTTAAAGGTATCAACTCTAGCAATGCAAATGATCTTTCGGGTTCAAACGCTATGTATGGTAAAAGTCATCCACAATTGAACAAAGTAAGAATAATTGACAATTTTACTTATCTCTATTGGTGCACATTTTTCTGGACACATTTACATTGATTTTCTTTATTTCTTTTAGGGCTACGATAAACCTAATAGTTTTCAAACAGCAACTCCACCCCCGTTCAACATGACTGGTGCTCCACAAGCAAACACTTTAGGTTCAGGTTATGCACCTCAGCCACCCAATCAATATATCCCTATGTTGCCTCAAACGCAACCGTCTATGTTACACCATAATCTTCAAGGAGACGTATCACAAAGTGGAGGTGCCGGTGTTGGTGGTCAAAGATCCATGTACCAGCCTCAAAAAGGCTCGGCTCCCAACAATAAATCTTATTGGAATCCCATTTGAGGAGTTAAATACTAAAGGCCTTTCCTTGTCACCCGTTTTTCGAAAAAATATCTAACAGAAAAGAATTGATTGATAGGCCCTTTATTGAACACAAACTACACATACATACATTAAAAAAACTACACAAAAAAACACGCATATGATTACAATTGACACTGACTAAAACTTGAAACGGTTGGAATAATAAGAAAGATGTAACTTTTTGGGGATATGGAAATACGCTTGTGAAAAAGTAAATCTGAATGTTTAATTCGAAGGAGGAGAGTATACGGAGAAACAGTCCCTTGATATGAAAGGGAAAACACCTTATTCTACTCTACTCGTTCAAAACATACTTTCATGTGTAAGGGTCATCAAATATCCCCTGTTAAATATGAGTGAGAATTGAAATGAAATTGCATTTCTATTTCCTCTAATTCTTTCAATCTCTTCATCTTGCTACTTTTTTTTCTCACCTTTTTCTTGATTATTCTTTTCTCTCTTTTCTTTCTCTTTATACCTCTCAATTATCTTTTCCCTATTATTATTCGATTCGATTGATAAAAACAACCAAAAAATTGTTAAATTAGTGTCTTTATCTTCTCACTTTTCTTTCTCTTCTTCCTCTCTAATTAAGTTTCCAAAGGGTAGTTTTCATCCCTTTTCTCTTAAATGTCTCTCCTCTAAACAAATACAAATCTATATATATATACACTAAAAGCACTAATAACCGAAACCCTTTACTCTCTTCATCAACCTCGAAAAAAAATATAAGAAAAACCAACCAAATAAACAAAAATATAAAATTATCTCCTAGAAATCGAATAAGCAAAACCAACGAATCATTAAAGTTACAGTCAAAAAGTTGAAATGTCTACAAACGCGTTAAGCTGTAGGTTATTTTTGCCAATTGTAATTGAAACACCTTGCAGTTGAAAAATTAAAATGTAAATGAATTAAAGCGATAATTTGGGAATATTGTACTTTCATCCTTAAGTCTTCAAAAATATAACGTTGATTCGCATGCAAAATGAGTCTGATTTTAATTTCTCATCTTTACAATTATTTTGCTGATAGACAAATCTTTAGCTGCAGCTTGAACTGAATCGTGTCTTATTTATCAACAGTTATTCATTGGTAACTGTCAAAATTATCATTAAACATCACCGGTAAACATTGAATGTCGGATAAAAATTGCTCAATATTTGATAAGATTGGAAAAATATTAGTAATTATTACTCTTATAATAAACAAAAATGACGTATTTGGATATTCTAGCGAGTTTCAAGTGATTTTACTCACTTTGATCAGTTGGCTAATCATGGTATATTCAATATAACATGCAGGTAAACAAATCTTCATAATTCATCCTTCATAACACGCATATTACGTCATGTAATAATTGCGATTCAACAACGATTAGATTTGATGGGTTTTATGGGTTTCTCTGGGTTTAATATCATAATAGCAATATCTGAACTGGTATCAACTGTTGATGTTACAAATCCCTAAATAAAGCCTATTTAGATAATTTAGATTTAAGTCAATACAAATTATCAGTTTGATTAACCAGAAAGTTGGTCGATTTATAGCTCGATTGTAATCTTGGTTTTCATTGTATAATACTCTTATGGATACTCATAGCTATTTGGTAGTAGAACTTATTTAACGGGTTAAGATAATAAAATGAAGCTGAATAAAATAATAACATCCATTTATACTTTGTATGAATTACAGATGAATGAGTTAGAAATAAAAATTTAACAAGGTAAATAAATTTACATTCAAACTTGAATTGAGCGTTGAATTGTGATTTGATAACACTAAATAAAGCGACTAACGAAAAAGCAAAATACAATTTAAATGGATCATCAGTCATCCTCCTTTTTCACCGACAATTGATAAAGATGAAATAGACGAGAGAAGTTGATTTTGTTTAGCTGCATAATCATTCCAATTTTTGGTTGATCTTTGTTGGGATTCATTTGTCATTGTTGAATGAGAATTGAATGTGGCAAAAGAATCGCCCCAAAAGAGCAACTCTGATTTAATCAATCCTTCAAGGCAGGGTTGAAAATACTTTATACGATAATCAATTATAGCAGGGATTTGACCAGTGATAAGCTTTGATTGCTTTTCAAATTTTTCTTCCGTTTCAGCAAGTTGAGCTTTCGTTTTTTCCAAGGCCACAAAAACGTTCCCTGTTTTTTCTTTACGATTTAGCTGGGAGACTTTGCTATTTAATTTGGTTAATGACTCTGAAAGAGTTTTGTGTTTGTTCAATTCATTTTTAACATCAGTCAATATCGATTGTAACTTTTTTGTTGGATCAACAATCATTTTCTGTATTGCCACTCCTAAATTATCACCGAATTCGCTAGTTTCACTGTTAAATGTGTGCCAATCTTGAACCAACTCACGGAATTCTGGGTAATATTGCTGACACAGTAAACTGTTGGCCAGATCTTCACTTAACTTGCATTCATGACGACTGAATTTGATTATACTGTCCATTAATTTTTTCCCACTCTTGTGAATTTTCTTTGTTGCCGAATCAACAGAATCTACTCTGAGTGTTAATTTGTTAACTTCATCAGGCATCAGTACTCCATCTGTAGTGTTGCTGCCACCAAAGCTTTCTATACCACTAATATTGACTAAAATCGAGTCTGGATTGGGAGCTGAAGGCGTAGCGGGGGTAGATGATTGACCGAATGATGAGGTTATTTTTCGCAAAGGATTCCTAGAAAAAATATACAAAAAACAATATGAAAACAAAAATTTGACAATCAGTAATTTCCTGAAACATAGAAGATTATAAATGTAAACCTTACCAACTCATTTTGAATATCCTTTTTAACTAGGTATCAAACTGGTACACCACAATGTAGTTTGAAGTATTAAAAATATTATTTCTAATAAAATTGAAGATAATCGATTAGGCTATATGGTTACTAATTAAGAATCCTTCTCAATTAAAAGTTATTTTCATCTCGTCTTCCTCAAGAAAAATCAACTTGTTTACATTTTGTATGCAATCGTTTTAGATATCGATATATCGACAATAACCTCAAAAATGTCAACAAACTGTTGACATTTAATTTTGCTCAATGATTTTGAATATTTGATTTAACAATTTAAGTTGAAATTGTCCAGTCTATGAGATTGTTCCAGCGTAATCATTTTATTGTTTAATTATTAAGATCTGATTCAATTTTTACTAGAAATATCAAATGTATAAAATATCGAGTTTCTTCCTTTTTGAAGTTGTAGTGAATGATTTAGTTTAATAAACTGTTTCTGCAAGTGATTTCAATACTAATTAAAAGTATTATTTCTGATCAATTGTCAAAAATTATAAATTGTTCATTTAAAGTCCACTTTATTTGGTTAATTTTTGGAGTTACAGCATCAACGTCTTTTATCCTCCTGTTATTGGTGGAATCAAAGCAATAACATCTGATTCATTGAGGATAACTGTTTTTTGTTTATGAACATATTCCTCATTAATTGCTAAGATCATGGTGGATTGCAGAACGTCCAGTTGAGGAAAAAGCTTGCTGCAAATGTATTGCTTTAGTTGATCATCTGTTTCCCAAATTCTTGGTAAGCTGATTGTTGTCTCAGGTTTTTTCAATAAGTCTTTAGCTTGAGCAAAAGCAATCAATTTAACTGTTACAGTTTCCACGGACATATTTAAAGATTTAGGTAAGAAGCAAAAACTGAAAAACAAACAGAACTCCACAATTTGAATTTATTGATACTTTTTTAGTAGTATAAACACGTGGAGTTGGCACAAGGTGAATATTTTTGATCCAATTGTAATACAATCTTCAGTTAATGGGTACAATAAATTGTGCAAAAATACTGAGAAATCAGTTTAAGTAAGTAAGATACTTAGCCTCAGCTGGTGAAGTTTTATTGATAAAAAGAATCATAACAAAAGATTGAATCTATATGGTACTGTAACTATTAGTTGAGATATTTTTTGTTAACAAGCGCTAGGTTAACAATTAGTGAACTAAATTCAAGTTTAAGATTATCTTGGTGAATTTATGATGCAGATTTTACTGAATAGTCTAATGTCAAGGTTATATGATCAACGATTAGAGTGTATGAATATTGTTATCAATCTACTCCTTATTTAACCAGATCTTGTTGCCATAATTGTTTCATTTCTATTAATCGTCTGTTCATTTGTAATTTATTTTAGGTTGCTTAAACGTGGAACCATAATGATTAGACCTCGTAAAATTTACAATTTGGTCCTGGTAACCGATCAGCAAAATAATCAAGTTTTATTGGGTTACAAGAAGCGAGGATTTGGAGTTGATAAATGGAGTGGTTTTGGTGGTAAAGTTGATATTGGCGAGGACATTGAAGTTTCAGTGAAACGTGAACTCTTCGAGGAATCATCTTTGATTGCTGAAGAAATTGTTAAAGTTGGCATTTTGTGTTTTGATTCCGACACTTATTCATGTGTCCATGAAGCTCATGTTTTCCAAGTTCCCAAGTTTTCTGGAAATCCAACAGAATCAGATGAAATGAAACCCAAATGGTTCCCAATCGACTCCATTCCATATGATCAGATGTGGAGAGACTTTCAATATTGGTGGCCTTATTTCAGAAAAGGTCAATTGTTCAGTGCTTTCTTTATGTACCAAGGATTGGAAGTTATTACTGATTATAGATTAATCACAGTCAATAATTATAAAGAATTGGAACCAATCGAGTTACACGAAACATCCTTTTTAAGACATTCACCTTTTTTGTCAACTCTTGCTGCACCTCATTGACAAATCTTTCCAAAAATTTTAAGTTTTATCAATCTTAATATCTATTTCAAATTTTTTTGTTCCCTGTTTCATTCACAAATGTCCAATAATCCTGTATTTTAATTGTCTTATTAAAAAGATCGAAATGATTATTATTGTTGTTTTTTCAAACTAAACTTAATGTTGTTATTTTTTATTACCGGTGGAAAACACAAAAGTTGATGCCTTATGGTCATGTAACTTAATATTGAAGTTTAGTTAAAATTTATGCAAACAGTATGAATATAATTTTATCTTTTTGTCAATTTCATTCTGGAATAAGCTCTTTGATTGTTCAATTAACGGTTAGCTTCTTGTTGTCATTTCATTATTTGAGTTAAGCTCTTATTGAATGAAAATTTTTACTTTTACCATAGCAAAGTTATTAATAATGGGCAGATTTAAAACATGTTTGCAAGAATTACTTTGCTTACCAAGTATTAAGTAAAGAAGGGACAATTCTTGAGTCTGCTAACGACAAAAGGAAATATAAGCTAATCACTTTGATCAACGGTCTACGAGCTTCAACTAAGCTGACTATCAGACAAAATATGTTTTGACATGATGCTAACAATGATGTAAGTTGTATTCTAGTTTTTGATGATCAGGTTATTAATACATTAATTATACCAATGTTTGATTTTCTCAACTAAAAACCCATGTGGTGAAATGACCTAAATAGCCAACTCAGTCACCAAAAAGGTTATGATCCATTTAATTTGTTTTGGAATAGCTCACTAGCTCACAGCTCAATGAGAATTGGTTAAATTTGCAAAATGTGAATAAAAGTAAACATAATTTTAGGTTAATCATTAAAGGGTACATTTATTATGTGTCAAACTAACATAGGATTTAAAATAAAACTGACAAAATGGGATTTTAAGATGATCCGAAAACATGGCATTTATTCAATAATTCTTTGATCCATCCAATTCGAGACTAATCTTCTTCTAATAGGAAATCGACTGCTTTTAACTGGGTAATGAAAGCGGTATCTTGCAGAGCTGAAGCATATTTACGAAGAGTACGAATTAAACTGTGTTTGGCTGCTCTATAACTCATTCCTTCCACATAAATGGCCAATTTGGAGATGACTGATCGGAAAAATGGTTGATCTATGTCATTTAATGAAAGTTTAATCGTTTTTCGTTCACCATTAACATCTGGATAGAACACCGAGATCATGTTACTATCAAGTGATCCATACATTCCAGCAATAACTTCTGTTTTAGACCTGATTACCCACGATTTAAATCCATAGATATGAGAACGTTTCTCGGTGATCTCGATAGATTTAGCAAAAGATCGGCGTACATAAATCAAATTGACGTACTCTTTAACACGACCATTTTTTGTTTCTCGAACAGTCCAAGCAACCAAACCACTTTCATTGTCAACTGATGAATAATTATACTCCTTGATATTATTAGGGGTTTTATTTTGAACGAACCAACCAGTATGAGGATAAAGACCATCTTCCATCACGATTATTGGTTTATTAACATGATAACCGGGGTCAAGTAAGATGGTTCCTAATCTTGAGCCGATAGCAATTTTAATAGCAACCATACAGTGCTCTTTTTTCGCACTCGGAGAATAAATGCAATAGTTATCCGGATCTTTAACGACCTCTTCACATGAAACCAGGCCAATAGAGGCTGCATAATCAGGGAACCGAAGAACAAGCAAGTTGAGAAGCGAGATAGCCAATCCAACACAGGAGAGCCCATCATGGTACAACCTAGACTTGAATGAAGTGACAAACTTCACAAATGACGGATCTTCAGAACGCAAGTATTCATCATGAAACCGTATAAATGAAGGAAACGTGTTGTAAGATTTTGATGATAATTCTTGTTGTAAAATATCTTGGCAAATAAGCAAGAAATCTGACAGCTCAGGTTCATCACCAAATTCAGTAGTTTTTAGCTCTGCTAACCAAATGGGAGTTTCAAGAAAGTCATTGATAGCGGCTGCAATCTCAGTACCAATAGATTCATCACCAGACGACGATGAAGAACTAGAAATATCGGTAGAGCAGCTACTTTCTCGACTAGACGAGCTAATTCCACTACTAGTGCTTGCTCCGTCATCATCGTCTTCGGAAAAATCTGTGTCGTCCTGTAAGGTTGCAAAATTAGTGTTTATGTAGTCACCATCTTTGTCATTTGTCACTCTGGTTCCATAGAAGAGGTTTGTCGATGAGTCATCATCTTTCCCTTTATCGAGAGGGAAAGTGATGACTCGTGAATTGTCATTTGAAGGCCCATTGAGTCAAGATGGCCACTGAGAAGCTGATTCGTGAATGATATTGATAGGTTTGTCTTGTTCATTGATAATACCTTTCAGGCTTTCATCGCACTCAAAGGTATACGATAAGTTTGATTCATCTTCACTATTATCTAAATAAAACAAACAGAAAAGAAATGATGAAATAGAAATCAGAAAAAATGAATTGAAATATTGAGAAACAAGAATGAAAAGCAGGAAGAAAAAATAATTGGAAAGAAAAACATGTGAATAGGAAAATAAGTCATCTACTTACCCATACAAGAATCGAGCCAATTTATTATCAGAATATTCGTACAAAAACACCAATCAAATAATGTAGTATTTGAAGGACCGATGTTCAAACGAAAGATGAACAATTACTAAAAGACGAACGCAATAAATAGATTAAGAACCAGAATGTTATCTAGAAAAAAAGAGACAGAGACAGAGAGACAGAGAAGGGGTTTCTTAGAAAAGCTCGTGGCAACAGAAAGGAAAGAGTAAAATCAATGTAGGTTGCTAGTGACGTTGTTGATAAAATGTGAACTGAGTATGACAGAATTTATATATTCCTGAGGAAGTTATTGTGACTGTTTACTGAAATGGAGATTTTATAAAAATAGCTTGCAATAATGAAACAAGATAAATTAAACAATAAAAGGTTATACTCGGAAGGTTTATTAAAATCAACTAATAGGTTCAAATTCAAAGGTTACTTGGAAAGGGAAGAAATTGATGGAAAATTAGCTCAAGTCAGACTTATTCTTGTGCCATCTTTTGTCATCATTCGGATTATTAAAGTTAAAGTAACTTAAAAAGATGATAAATACACACACCTCTTCCTTAATGATAAGGTCATTATACCCTACTCGACCTCTTTCAAACTATCATCCTTTTAAACTGATAATCAGTTCAGATTAATCAATACAAATCTTGCTTTGGGGATCCAAATTGAAGTTTTTGGAGTTTCTTTTTTCCAATCATTGTCTATTTTCATACATTATTGTAACCAAATCACGTTTTATTGATTAAACAACCTCACATTGTGATATTTTAGATATTGTTACTTTTAGATGATCTTAGTAACACAAGATTCAGGTTTGTTTCATAAGCTTATTTTCTGGTTAATCATTAAGGTGGTCTCAGCAATTATTGATTGTTTTGAGATCGACAATTTGACAATTTTTAGATTTTTCATGATTAGGTTGCATATTGATAATCAATTTTGTGATTACAAAGTAAGTTGGTTTCCCCTTTCATATTAGGATCTTATATACAAGATTTTGATATCTTTAATTATCCACAATCAAATTAAACCTACCTTGCAGTTTGACAAGAAATTTCTGGTTTTAATGCACTTCAAGTAGCCCGGAGTATTCCAGAGCCCGGAAAATCATTGATATCAGTAATTATTATGGGAAACTTCAAGTTGTCATTGAGCAATTAGATAATTTCCATCATAAAATTTCCAATTACCAGGGGTTTGGCACTAGTTTTAATCTCGTGCTTTAAATGTGATCGGGCAATGATAACTGTTCGAGGAGGATAGTTATCAATAACCCATAGAAATACAAAAAAGTATTATTGAGGAATTAAATCATTGATAAAAAATAATCGTTATCGATGGATAGATTGCTGGCCTGAATTTTGGCTGTTTTAGCTCAAGAACCTCTTATTACAGAGATTGATTCATAACAATAAAGTTGACCATTTTGGAGTCAATATTATAATAGATATTTGGCATTCAAGGTTTTGCTATCTGATATCTAATGTAGATTAAAGCTATTGTAAAAGGTTATTTCCAGGATTAATTAAGAATCTATGAAAATTGCTGAATAAGATTGAAATAGACAAGTTGCATACAGAGGTTAGTAATTTTAATACAATAGTTTTGCAAGTGAAAACTGAGCTCACCATTGATGTCGATCAATTTACAAAGTGATAGATGATTTGGAGGAAAAAATCTGTCCCTATGTTTCAAGATTTTCATCGCGACAAAATGTTCTTTACATTAAACAATTTGATTAAATTTACAAAAAATATCTTGATTTATCATTCAATGAGAATCATATTACTTGAAACGAGAAATGTTTTGAAAATATTGCGATGATTTATATAATCTGTTAGCTCAATTCTTCAAATCACAGTTGGGTTCAGTTTGGCCAGAAATTATCGCTTCCCTTGATTCATTAGTTATTATAAGTGTGTCTTTAACGTGAAAACTGAAGAAGAAAGCAGAAATTCCAATTGTACATGTAATTAATAACAAGATGCAATAGAGATGAAGACCAATATAATCTGAAAGTAGGTACATGATTCCCATTGAAACTCCTTGTAAACTGGTGTAAATAGCAAATGGCGGTGCCGCATTGTTTGAATAATATGTGATAATGCATCTGCCTATTTGTGTCTCAAAACAGCCATCCGTGAATCCAAGAGCAAACGCATTAACAAAGGCCAATGTTAAGCTATTTTAAAAGAAAAATGTGATTAGTTTAACCGTTGAGCGATTCGTAGTTATAAGATTAACCAGCAAACCTGGGGTGAATAATTGCTGGATCGTCAGTGTCCATAGTCGATGCATTATTAGGAAGGTTGACGTAAATTGAAACATATGTCAAAATAGCTACAACGTAAGCAAAGACCAAAATATATTGTGGTTTCTTCATACGACGGCTCACAATTAATAATATCCCAGCAGCCACTTGACCAGCACCTAAAAGAATTATTCATTTGAGAATTTCTTCAATGATTCGATTATGTATTGTATTACCAATCAACATTCCAGTTTCACCAGCATATTGTTTCCTATTGACTCCAAACGCTTTTGTGTAACCAACTGATGTGGGATAAATTGTATTAAAAAATGAAAGCTCTAGACCTAAAATTATAACAAGATGATGTAAGAAGCCTTAAAGTAATTTAACTGGACTTCCAATAAGCCAACAGAGTCAGTGGCGATTATTTACACTGCAGATACACTAACCTGTATACAACATAAAGATACACAGCAAAGCCATCCTTTTTGTAGTCATAAGTTTGATCGCTTGCCCTGGAAATAGCACCATTTGTAACGAAATAGCATGGAAATATTAATATTTTAGATAAAAGGTAACATTAGTGTGAGACTAATTTTAGCAAAGTCACTGGTAATCGTTTGACATACCGAATACTTTGAATACTGGTTCAGATTTTTCTACTTCATCTGGTTTTTTCAAGAAAAATGTTAACATAATACCAATTATTCCGACTGATATAAGACTCGAATATAATAAAGTTCGAGTGTTTACCGATATATGCTCTTTCCCTTGAAATAGATATGTAACAGCAACATTACCAAAAACAGCTCCACTTTGCATTATTGACCACATGATTCCAGCATCTCTGGTAGCACTTGCACCATTGCTAGTAAAACTCAGATATGTTCCTTGAGCGTTCCACATAACTATTGAATGAGAAAGATATAATTTACACCGAGAAAGTGATAAAAAATGAAATTGAAATTACGCGATGCTGATATGCCTGAGATGGCAGAGGCAATGTAAAGTCCATATTTGAAGGGAAACAAAAATGTGCCCAATGCAAGACTACAATCAGTTGAACAAGATATGAGCAATCAAAATTTGGCCAAATTAGAGACAACCTTAGATTGTCAAGTAAATCTGATAGTTACTTGAAACCGAACGCTCCTAAGGCAAGAGCTCGTTTAGAGTTGATCAATGAAATCAATGGCGGAGTGAACCATGAAAAAACTGCACCAGTCCAATTAAGTATGCTTAAACTGATATAACCGCTCCATTTGAATCCATTCCAAGCTTGTTCATAATCCTCATTTATTGAATCAGCCACCAATTCCTGCATTTAATACAAAAATATATTTCAAATATCGTTTTAAATCTTTGAGCCTTGACATTGAAACTATTATATAATTGTTATACAATTATCAATATAACATTGAAAGCTTGGAGATTGGAAGATTCAAGCTCACCAGTTATATCAAAATCATTGGGTGTTAATTACAATCGGCTGAAAACAACCAATATCGGAATGTTTTGTGATACTGTGTACTGATCAGTGTAAGATATAAAATATGCTAGAAATGATTTCTAAGCTCAAATGATGGAAAAAGATTGGTCTCATTATTGGCATCTTTTTGAATGTCTATGAAAATCGCTCTTTTTAAATTCCAACATGTTTGACAGTTAAAGTGAATAGTTTTCAGGTCTGGTCAGGCATCGGTCAAGAATGGACCAGTCAAGATGGTTAAAAATTGAGAAATGATCTTACCTGAACATTGTTGAAGGTAAAAAATGGGAGTATAATGAAAAAATAAACTACACCATAGAGAATTATCGGCCTCAATGGAAGGATTTTATCGTCTGAAGTCATTTTGGTAAGATTTTAACATCTAATATTTATTAACTTTTTTAAACTTCAATCCAAACTTGAAATTTCATGAACAAAGAGGAGACTGATTTCAATACAATTGTCATAAGCTTATAAAGTGGAGTCGGATTTAAAGGTGTTTTCCATCAAGCAAAAATCGAGATTGAAAATCAATATCTCACTTGTTTATGACGTATTCATTACGTCCCAATCAAAAAAAAATTTCAGTAATTCTAATTAATTCCGAGGTATTGTTTAATTTGAAGATAATCAGGTAAGGAAAATCACTTTAGTTCAAATTCTGAATCAAAAATGAAAGCATTGAATCAGAGCTTACAGATCTGTTGACCAGACAATGTAAAGAAAGATTTTCGCAAGTTCATTTTGATCTAGATCAGCATTTTAGACAATTTACAAAGACTTATTGGTATTGTCTTGTACTAAAAAGACACAACCAACTCAATTGTCAAAAATTGTCAATTTATACACAAATCGACAAAAATTGAAACAATTGGCAAAAACGGGTAAAAATATATTCCTTTCAAATTGAGACTCTTCTGGTTTGTAGGGAAATAAAAACTGAGTTTATTTGATTGTTGAAAATTTCTCTGATGGAAAGTTTTCGAGAAAATTGGGTTCGAAGTTGCAACTTGCAAAGCTTTTTGTACAATTGTGGAAGCAGATTTTTTCATGAAACTTCATTGTCGTTATGTAAACTTTAATGGCAAACCAGAAAATCCACTGATTTTTAGGGATAAAATTTTCTTTCTTCGGTAAAACAGATTAGTTCGATTTTCCCTTAAACCGATCGCTTTCTATGATCGAAATATTTAGACAGCTGAAAATTATCTTTTGGGGATAAAAATTGCTGAATAACATTTTGGATCGAATAGTTTTATCAATTTATAAGCATTTCTCTCGATTTTGGCCATTGGACATAAAACTTTGAGAAGCAATATTCGAGTATGGCATCACCTTCAATCATCATTATTTCACCAATTCAATCTTGCACTGATCAATACTTCAATTCAATTGACAAACTTTCCATTAGCGCATTCGAGTCATGATATTTGGGCTGTAAATGTACAAGCAACAGCTTATTAAACAAAACAAACTCATCTTAACCCATTTCTTGGTGCATAAAGCAATTTTCTGGTTAAACTTTCAAATGAAATGCAAAGAGTACTGCAAAAGACTCGACAATTTGAGTTAAGAGTTGAGACTTGGTGCGTTTGTAGGGCCATAAAAACCGAGTCTATTGCTACTATTAAATGATTTATCTGATGAACAGTTTTCAAGAAAATCGAAGTCAAAGTTGAAACTTCGATCGACTTTTGTTCAGCAATTAAAGCAGATTTTTTCATGAAACTTATTTTGCTAACGTATCTTTTGCTGAGCAACCAGAAAATGGCCTTATTTTGACAAATAACATTTTCTTTTTCTGTAAAACAGTTCAAGTTCGATTTTCATTTAAATCGATCGATCTCTGTGACAATAAGAGTTAGAGAGCTTAAACTTATTATTGGCCCACAAAAATCAATTGTAAACCTCATGGATTGAATCATTTTTTAAATTTATCAACAGTTCTCTTGATTTTGGCCATTGGCCTTAGAACTTTAAACCTCCATATTTCGAGAACTGCATTACCTACGATCATCATTCTTTAATCAAACATTAGACTGCATTATGGGCTTTAATATAATATGAGTAAATACACCTAAAAATGAATTTCTTTCTAACAATTAAGGTTTGTGTTTGAGTAACATCTAACTTTATAAATCAAGTCTCAAATCTGATAACATAATTAAGAAATTGCTATAACTTTGTTAGTGGCTTCTTAAATAGTTTACTATTTCAATGTGTCATAGCCCATAATAAAGCCTAATGTTTGGTCAAAAAAAGATGATTGTAGGTGATGCCATTCTCGAAATATTGAGGTTCAAAGTTGAACAGAACAATGGCCAAAATCAAGATAACTGTCAATAAATTGAAAAAATGCTTCAGCCCATGAGGTGTAGAAACAATTTTTATGTATTAATACCAAGTTTCACTTCTCTAACTACTACGTTCACTGAAAGCGACCAATTTTAAACGAAAATCGAATTGATCTGTTATACAGAAAAAGAGAGCTTTTTCTCTTGGAATAAGTCCATTTTCGGGTAGCTCATCAAAAGTTACATCAGGCAAATGAGTTTCATTCAAAAATCTGCTTCTACAATTGAATAAAAGCCGATCGAAGTTTAAAGTTTGACCTCGATTTTCTCGAGATCTGTTATTCGGACAACCTTTTTTATGGCATTAATGGACTCAGTTTTTGCTCCTAAAAACAAACCAAAACTCAACTCTCAACTCGGAAGTCAAAGTTTCTTTCAATGATCTTTTAAACATTTCATTAATGTAAAAATCTGCAAAACAGACTATTTGAGTAACACATCATAAGATTTGTGTTTTAAAACTCATTTACCTTTATAAACCAAGCATAAAATCTGGTAACATAAGAAGTCGATGCTATAACTTTTCCGTAGCATCTTTCATGATATAAAACTGGACCAGATTTTAGCTCATAGTAAAATCTAACGATTGGTCAAAGAATGTTGGTTTTGGGTGATGCCATTCTCGAAATATCGAGGTTCAAATTTTTAAAACCAATGGCCAAAATAAAGAGAACTGTTGATAAATTGAAAAAAATATTGAATCCATGATCTGTACAAACAATTTTTATTGACCAATAATGAGTTTCAGTTTGCTAACTCTTACGGCCACAGAAATAGATCGATTCAAACGAAAATCGAACTTGTCTGTTTTACAGAAACACAAAACTTTATTTCATGTAATAAAGTGCATTTTCTGGTTTGCCATTAAAGTTTACATAACGAAAATAAGTTTCATGAAAAAATCTGCTTCCATAATTGTACAAAAAGCTTTGACAATTTGCAAATTCGAACCCGATTTTCTCGAAAACTGTTCATCAAAGAAATTTTCAAATCACCCAAATAAACTCAGTTTTTATGTCCCTACAAACCAACAGAGTCTCGATTTGAAATAAATAAATTTTCACCCAATTTTACCCATTTGTGCATTAATGTGGATGTTGTGTGGATCCAAAATGTTTGCTTTAGCTTTGGTAAACCTAAACCTAAACCCAGCTCAAACATTCGGGTTTGTAAGAGTATAAAGATTTGGGTGAGAATTAAAACTGAATAACAAACAGGACTCCACAATTCATGATACTTTTCTTAGTAGCATAGTGATTCAATTGAGACGAGCACTTAGCGCACATCAAATTGCATTAACGCAAAATTTGTGCTAAATCTGCGACTTTCTTTCGGTGCGCATTTTCTGGCGTGTATGCCACTTTCGACTGGGATCTGCTGTCGATATTACATTTGTACATCATTAACAGTTAGAGTGTATGAATATTGTTATCAATCTACTCCTTATTTTACCAGATTTTGTTGCCATAATTGTTTCATTTCTATTAATCGTCTGTTCATTTGTAATTTATTTTAGGTTGCTTAAACGTGGAACCATAATGATTAGACCTCGTAAAATATACAATTTGGTTCTAGTAACCGATCAGCAAAATAATCAAGTTTTATTGGGTTACAAGAAGTGAGGATTCGGAGTTGATAAATGGAGTGGTTTTGGTGGTAAAGTTGATATTGGCGAGGACATTGAAGTTTCAGTGAAACGTGAACTCTTTGAGGAATCATCTTTGATTGCTGAAGAAATTGTTAAAGTTGGTATTTTGTGCTTTGATTCCGATACTTATTCATGTGTCCATGAAGCTCACGTTTTCCAAGTTCCCAAGTTTTCTGGAAATCCAACAGAATCTGATGAAATGAAACCCAAATGGTTCCCAATCGACTCCATTCCATATGATCAAATGTGGAGAGACTTTCAATATTGGTGGCCTCATTTCAGAAAAGGTGAATCGTTCAGTGCTTTCTTCATGTACCAAGGATTGAAAGTTATTACTGATTATAGATTGATCACAGTCAATAATTATAAAGAATTGGAACCAATCGAGTTCCTCGAAACATCCTTTTTAAGACATTCACCTTTTTTGCCAACTCTTGCTGCACCTCATTGATAAATATTTCCAAAAATTTTAGGTTTTATCAATCTTAATATCTATTTCAAATTTTTTTTTTGCCTGTTTCACTCACAAATGTCCAATAATCCTGCATTTTAATTGTCTTATTAAAAAAATCGAAATGATTATTATTGTTGTTGTTAAAACTAAACTCAGTGTCATTTTTTGTTACTGGTGTTAAACACAAAAGTTTATGTCTTATTGTCGTGAATGCATTTAATGTTACAGTTTTGTGATCAATAATACAAACAGTATGAATATAATTTAGTTTTTTTGATTTTACAATATTTTGATTGAGCAAAATCGATCTTTAATAAGCTCTTTGATTGTTCAATTTACGGTTAGCTTACTTGTTGTATTTTCATTATTTGAGTTGCCCGCTCTTATTAATATATGAAAATTTTCACTGTTACCATAGAAAAGTTGATTTAAAACATGTTTGCCTTACGATGAATTTTATTAAGTGAATTCAATTCTTAAGCTGGTTTGTCAATATATGATTTTGGGTTTTGCATCATCCCAGACCGTTCAATTAAATATTCAAAGGTATTTTCTGTCAGATTGATCTTTGCCTTTTCACACTGATTGTTCAATGTAGTATTATGTAACAACATCTGTTTTTTATCTACCTTTTCTTGTAGTGATCACCTTCATCGGCCTGTTCATTGTGTTTCTAGTTCTATGGTGCAATTTATTTCAACAAACTGACTCTCTAAGGCAAACAATAAGCAATCTAGTCGTAAGTACTTACGGAGCCTGGAAAAAGAAAGTTAAATTACAGTGTGAATCAACTTGTACATCTGAAAGAAAAAAAATGTTCAGCAAGTATTTAGTAAAAGAAGGGGCAATTCTTAAGTCTTTTAATGACAAAAAGAAATATAAGCTTATCACTTTGATCAACGGTCTACGAGCTCTTCTCATATGTGACACCAGTTTCAGTCAACATGATCGTTCGCCGTCCCCATCAACATGTTCTGAAGCCACGCAGGACGATAAGTCTGAAATGTCGGATGATGATGTTAGTGTAGGTAAGTTGAAACAAATCCAAATACAATACAAGTGTAATACTCGAGTCGGAATCAAGATTAATTTTGTTTAAATTTCAGAAGAACAAATGAAAGGCAAGAAAATATGTGGAGCTGCATTATCAGTTCGTGTTGGAACTCTCAATGATCCTATCAATATCCAAGGCCTTGCACATCTTGTAGAACATGTTATTTTCATGGGAAACAAAGATTATCCCGAGGAAAACTCATTTGACGCTTTCCTAAATCGCAAAAGTGGCTACGTTAATGCTCAAACTGATTACGAGAACACTGTTTATGAATTTCAAGTGCCTAATCGTTATCTACAAGAGTCATTGCAAAGGTTCGCTGCTATATTCATTTCTCCATTGTTCCGTGAATCTTCTGTTCAGAATGAAATCCGTCCAGTTGATAATGAGTTTGTAAACTCACTTGGTGATGATGACTTGCGAGCTGAAAGCTTACTTGCAAGCTTAACTCAACCTGGTCATGACTTGAGTAAATTTTCGTTCGGTAACGTTAAAAGTCTAATTGATCTTCCAAAAGCAGAAGGAATTGATCTTAATCAAGCAATTAAAAATTTTTGGTCCACTCATTATCATGCAAGTAACATGAATCTAGTTGTTCAAGGAGAACATGATCTCGAAACTTTGGAAAAATGGGTGACTGAATATTTTGTTGATATTCCAAGTTCTAAAGAGACTTATCAGCCCCCAATGAGTCAAGTTAATGATACAAACAACTTTCCCTATGCTGAATCAAAGTTTTGTAGACTTTTTTACATTGAACCCGTTGCATCGGGCGACTATTTCTACATTAATTTTTGGCTTCCACCTAAATTTAATTGCTACAAATCAAAGCCTCTCTCTTATTTCGGATCTTTGCTAGGACATGAAGGAAAAGGAAGTTTGTTTTCTATTCTTAAAAAGAGAGGTTATGCCTTGGAAATTATTGCTGGTAACCACGAAAATGGATTTGATGCTAACTGTTTTCAAGCCTTGTTTAGTATTCAAATCAAACTGACACCATTAGGATTAGAAAATCTGGATTCAATCGTCGATTACATTTGGAGCTTCATTGATTCTATCAAGACTCATGGCCCACAAAGTGAACACCTTGAAGAAGATATGGCTATTCGCTTGTATTCTTTTGCTTTTGCTAATGAGAAAAGTGGATGTCGAAATTGTGTTAAAATTGCCCGGAATATGACTAAATATGATACTGAACATATCCTTACTGGTTCTAAATTGTTATTTGAAATCGATAAGGACAAAATCCAATCGGTTCTTCCTTATCTTTCACCAGATCGAGCTAATTATATAGTTTTTTCAAAGAAGTTATTCGCTAAAAAAGATTTACCTATTGAAACTGAACAATGGTTTGGAACAAAATATAAGACAACGGATACTCCAACCCGATGGATTATGTTTAAGAAGCCACAAGATTTTGACGCTGAAGTTCATTTTCCACTTGTAAATGATTTTATAGCTCATAATTTTGAAGTTCTTCACAGTGAGGTCACTGATTATCCTAAATGCATAAGCGAAACTCACTGTTGGAGATTGTGGTTCAAAGAAGGAACTAAATATGAAGTTCCAAAAGTCTGTGTTAAAATGATTTTCAGATCTCCATTGGCTCGAAGTAATCCACAAATTTCTGCTGCCCTGGAACTCTACATCCGAGCTCTTGTAATGAAGGCTGAAGAAGATGTCTATCCAGCATCAATTGCTGGACTGGATTATAATGTGGGACTTCATGATTCTGGCTTGTATCTTTCATTTTCTGGATTCAGTGATAAAGTGTCTAAATTCGTTCAACTTATTGTGAATCATTTAGTGACATTAGATTTCGATGAAGATATATTTTCCAATATTCGTCGTGATCTATGTGATGAATATTACAATTCGTTTACAGACTCGTCCGAATTGTCTGCATCCATACGATTGTCCATTCTTAAACCCAATTTCGCACCACCTTATGTTAAACGGATCTTTTTGCCTAATCTTACTCGGGAAATAGTCATTTCTGCTGGTCGTCAGCTTCTTGCAAATTCATTTTTGGAATGCTTTGTGACTGGAAATATAACTTCTACTCAAGCCTTATCCATTGTTGAGCAAGTTTCATCAACTGCTCGTTTTGCACCTTTGTTTCAATATTCAACTATTCAAGATAGAGCTTGCCAATTACCGCCTGGCCATCATATTTGTCGAGTTTTATCGTTCAGCAAGGAAGAGAAAAGTTCTACGATTGTCAACTATTATCAATTTGAACCTGTCGACTTTAAAACAGGAGTAATTAATGAACTTCTCAACTCAACCATGAGTGAGCAACTTTTTGATACGCTACGGACACAAGAAGGATTAGGTTACGAGGTTTACGCTAATCATCAACAAACTTACGGTATTGGTGGACTTACAGTTACGGTGGTAAGCAATGCGGAAAAATTTGATTGCTCGTATATTGATGATCGAATTGAAGCATTTCTGGCTAAATTTTCTTCCACATTGGTGAAAATGAGTGAAGATGAATTTGACGAGTTAGTAAATGGCTTGCTTAAGATGAAAAGTGCTCCATTCTTAACACTGAATGAAGAATCTAAATTTTTCTGGGGTGAAATCTTGGAAAGAAGATACATGTTTGATAAAAGACAAAAAGAAATTGCTGCTCTAACAGAGGTTTGTTGTAATTTAAACTCAAAAATATTCAATCTAAAATATTTTTCATTTTTTTTCTCTTGTAGCTAACTCTTTCTGAATTCATTACTTGGTCATATTTACATCTATTAGATACTTCTCATAGGAAAAAGTTATCTATCCAGGTAAGTCATTTTAATAATTAGTCTTTTGTTTTCTTAGAGAGTTTTTTTTCTAATCATTCATTTCATCATAATAATTATTTACATTTAGATTGTTGCAAATGGCTCTAAAGCATTGGAGGAAAGTCTCGCCATTGAAAGTAACCCATTCATATCGCCAATTACTGATCCTAATGATGTCTCTTCAGGAATAGTCGACTGTGAATGTATTAGTGAGTCCAGCAGCAGTAAAATCAGTAACATCTCAAAGATTGATGAAGATTTCCTCAAGAATCATGATTGCTCACATTTATTGAAAAGTAACAAACGACCAATTGAAGAAGAAGATCAAGTCTATATCCTGAAGCATTTAGCACCAAAAACTGCCAAATCTGGTGCAAAATTAATCGTAGATATTGAAGAATTCAAAAGATATCTTCCTATTTACCCGAAAATTAGAAAAATTAACCGATAACGTTTCAAAGTGGAACATTTTCTCAAAAAAACTTACTCGCAAGAACTTCCAATCAACCAAAACCTTATTGAATACAGTTCATTATTTTAGTTTGCAATTGATTATATTTATTTCAATGAGCTCAATCGACATGCATGTTGCCATCATCAATAAACGGATTTATACTCATGGATGATTGCTAATTCACATTGCATTTTTGGTTATTTTTGCAATCTTTATATGATAATGTTTACATTTTGACTAACAATCAACAAGTTATCGTTAAATTTCTTTTCAAACAATAATTGTTAATGATTAAACATAAATTTGTTTAAAAATGTCTGGAACTTATTAATGGATTGCAATTTTCAAAGAACAATAAACGAATGAATATTTATTATTAAGTTTATATTTATAGATAGATTATTTTCAAATAATTACCATCACGCGATCAAGTTATTCTTATTAATACATCAATTTCAATGAGTTTCAATAAAACTTTCGTACAACTGATCTGAAAAATGTCGCATATTATAATCACATTTCTCCAAACTGAAAATCCCAGAATTATAAACTGTTTGAAATCTTTATCTAAATCTTTAAGCGCAAATTTCATACATTTTGCGGTCAAAATTTTAAACCTATCACCACTGCCTCTGCCTCATAAAGTTAAATGTTTAATGAATTTAAACCTAATCCTTTCAAAGTTTGAACTTCAAACATTAACTTAAACTGAAATAAACCCCTAAAGAGCTATGATTCAGAAATTGTTTCGAAGTGATTCCAGCGAAAAAGCTTTTTCTAAGAGTCTCGAGACAAAGTAATATTACAATAGAAGAATATAGAAATATAAAGAATATAAATTGAAGAAAAAATAACGTTTACAATAAAGAATTTTAATTTAGGTTTTTTTTTTGTCATTACACTCAAACCTCTCATAATGAGACTCTCTGTGAATAGCTCTTAAGCTTATTTCCACAGACGCTATTTGAACGAAGGATTTTTTGGCTTTGTTTATTTTGATTATGGTACATATTTGATTTGGTTTCATTTTAATTTAACCAATAATCGTTCAATTATCATCAAAAAACATGTTTAACTAATTATCAACAATATTATTGCATTAGAAACGGCTTAGATGATTTAAAGAAATAAGGTAAAATCATAGCACTAATTGATTATTAAATCCATAGATGACTCTGATCAGAAATTGTCTCATTATCGGAGGGTCTCATTATGAGAGGTTTGAGTGTAGCAAGTTATTCAATAAAGCAAACTTTTGAAAACTGAGGTAATCATAAAATTAACGTTAAATACGGACAGATCAACGAAACATTGATACAAAATACAGAAAGAACGAAAGAGATTACGACTAATGTACAAAATAATGTACTACAGTACTTTTGTATTATGAAATAGTAGCTCGCTTTGCTTAATTTTGAAAGAAAAGCGAACAAAACGCAATCATTTTGGTGAGGGATGAGACGAAAAGCCAAGTCCTATACCTCGATGGGTATGGGTCGACATTCGCGCTAAAGAGTATTGCTTGTCCAAATCTTTAAATAAATTTTCTTGATATTTAACCATTGAATCTTGATCTTCAATTTTATCGGGAGCAGTAGTAGTTTTACTGCCCATCAATTTGAGAAACTTTTCAGTCATTTGTTGACCCTGAGCTCCTGAGAACTGAAGTCCATGCCATACTTTTGGAGTTTCCTTTGACTAATGGAGAAAGTAAGATATAGTTAGAGGAGTAAACTTATTACAATTGTAAGTCAATTTGGCAGGAAAGTACAGATTTTACAGTCAAGCCAAGTGAAAATCATAATTACCTGAGAATCATCTTTTTTGGTTGAGCTCCATAGAAGTTTTTTCTTCTCTTCTTGAATCGCATATTTAGTTGCATTGAAAGTTGCTTGTTTATAATACCTAGGTACATTTGCTGAAGTTGTTGATGCTGTTAACGAAGATGATGATAACGAAGGTTGAGATGCAGGGAAAGTTGATGATGGAGAGGAGTAGCTAGTATCTGAAGCTTTGTCTTTGTTGACTAACCCATCAACAAAATCACCGCTAACTGAAGGTAATGGATGAATTGAACTTGACTTTTTCGAATTTTCTTCCCTACGAGCTTCATCATCATCATAGAACTTAGCAGATGAACCCTCCTTAGAGTGATTTTCATGCCTTTTTGTGTGAGCCTCTTTTGATAAGAAATCGGAAGAATTTAAACGAGATATATCTCTGGATTCTCTGAAGCTTCGATTATCACTAGAATGGTGGTCTTTGTAATCACGGTGATTAATTCTTCGTCCACTTGAACTTTTTGAATCACGACTATATCGGTTTTTAGAGTCTTCATGTTCTCTATCACTTTTCCTTCTGTCACGATCCGATCTAGAGAAATCTCTGGATTCTTCTTTCCTTGTATCACGATAATGCTTATCATTAGAGCGATATGATCTACGATAATCACGCTGATCATCCTTCCTCCTATGACGGTCATCCTCATGGGATCTACTTCGGGATCTTCTGGAAGATTTGTGAGAAGAACGATTTTTATATGGCACCTTATCATTTCTGCTACTTATTTTGCTATCAAAAGTATCATTTTGATGCTTTTTAGAAGCATCGGATTTTTCACATTGACTATTTTTCTCTTCTACATTCCTGTCATCAGAATTGTATACTTTCTTATCACCTTCTGTAGCTATAATGTCTTTCTTATCACGAGATGTTGAGTCATTCTCATCATTGGAAGGATTCATGTTTGATTCCAAATCTGGCCCATCAGCTTTTCTCTCCTCAGAAATGGACTTTTCACCATCTCTAGATCCTGGATCCTCGTCATCTTCATAATCGACAAGACCCTATATGAAAGATAAACTATCAATATGACGATAATAATTAATAAAAATTTAGACAAGATTGAATCACCACAGCTAAACATAAGATATCAAGATCAAGTCTAAAGTCTTCAAGGTGAAACAATATACAAACAAAATAGAGAACGAACTAAAAAAACAACTTGAAAAACAAAGACAATAACCATGGAAAACAAACTCAATATCTCCGAGAGTTTACTAACAACAAGAATCATATCTGAACTTTAAAAAATTCTTCAGAAAGATTTGGACAAATGGATAAATTTCAAGTTCAAGATACAGATGAATTCTGCGTAAATATTGTCTTGATCACATGTTGAAATTTCATATTAAAGTATGAAAAATGTTCAACTTTGAACAAAAACAAATGTGGAAAAGGTGATTATTTCTCAAAAGTTTTATGTCTCACCCTTAATTTTTCCATCTTGGTATAAACTATGGTTGAAATCAGTAGCACGTTACAATTCTGGAACTGATAAACATGACTAAGAACGTAAACACAAACAAATAAACGCCAGATTAAAGGCCGGTTTAGTGAAACTAAATCTTAAATGGTCAAATAAATATTAGTAAACAAAATAAGGGGAAAGAAATTGTCTCAACAAGCACCTCCCTCGCAACCATAGTAACGAGGATTCAAATTGTAATTTGTAACTGATTCAAAGATCAACTTTCATGAACTTTGACAATTAATTGTTTATGATTAACTTTTAATTAAATTAATTCCTAAATCAAGTGTAACTTTAATTGTTGTTATTGGTTTCTGTTTATTTAAGTTAAAGCTTTGCTTTAATCTTTACTCAACTGGAATATTAAAAGTTTTCAAAATCATCGCCATCTTTTGGCAGGCGAAAGTGAAGATTAACGACTTTTTTCTTTTTGAAAAAGAGTACAAAACATAAGATACTTTATTGTGTTCGTTATTAAGGATTAAACATTTTGGTAAGCGTTAATTTGTTTTTTATCTTTATTTTTTAATGTCAGTGTTTCTTCATTCTGTTTTCTAATTTATTTTTAATAGCGTTGTTCACTTATTTAAATTTTAGTAACTGTTAATCCTTTGTTTAATTTTCTTATCCTCTCAGTTTCTTGGTTATCTTTACCCTTTCAGTCAACAAAGATGAGTACTCCAATGATAAAGACTCCCTTACGGGACCGTAATCGGTGCCAGTCTCAGAATAATAAAGAGTACCACATGAACCGAGAGTTGATGGATATGAGAAAAAAATATAACAATGAAAGAGCTCGAGCTGATGACATGGAACTGGAAGCAAAAAGCAAGGATTCTGTGATAAGAAAACTTCGAGAAGAGCTGGAAGTTGTCAGAAAAAGAGTTCACCTACAAAATGACGAGATGGCCAACATGGTTAGCCTGGAAGTCCATGACAAACTCAAAAGTGAGTTCGAAGTGCTCAAAGTCAAACATGAGTCTATTTCAAGTGATCTAAAGTTTGCTCAAAGTCAAGTTAAGGATTTGGAAGAAGAACTTCGCTCCTCGTGGAATAGTAACCAGGATCTTAGTGCTAAATTTGAAGGTGCCATGAAGGACATGGAAAATATTGCAAAGGAATTTGTTGATTATACAGATCTAAAAGCCAAATATGAAGATCTACTGCAAAGATATAAATTAGTTTCTGTTGAAAATGAGGAACTACAACAGACTTTGGAAAGTCTCAAAGAACAACGCAAAGAAGATTTGTTAAATGAATCAGGAATCTTCACACCACTCAGCGTTGAAGCTCCTGCTCTAGATGCCGAACCAATTTCCCTTTTCACCGAAATGATGATGAAAGACCAAGAAGAAGAATTGGAAAAAGTGAAAATTTCAAATGATAGGATGAAGAACGAACTTGACGAGCTCAAGACAAAACTGTTAAGCATGGATCGACTGCAGCAAGAAGTGGAAACTTTAAACGCTCAATTAAACTTGACTAAAAGCCGATTAAGTGACTCTTATCGTGATCTAAAGAATTGCATTACTAAAAGAGAGGCTGATAAAAGAAGGTCCGCAGAGCAAATTAAAAAATTGGAACAAAAGTCTACAATATGGGAGAAGGAATTGACATCATTAAGGAAAACCTGTAATGATTTGATTACTCGCAATGGTGAACTCACGAAAAGGTGTTCAGACCTCGAAGAGATCGTTCATGAATTGTCTCGTAAAAATACCGAATTGCAGGATGAGGTTAAGATACTTGATGAATCTTTTATCATGGAAAGAAGGACAAAAGAACGATTTGCCGAAGAAAACCGACATCTAGAAAAAATGTTACAAAGAGAACAATTTATTCTTTCTCAATCTGTCAGAATGCCACCACCACCACCTCCATCATCATCTTCATCCTATCAATCATCAAATACCTTATCTAATACAAACCAAATCAATCCCAATGCTACCTTCAGCATTAGCACTCCTATTTGCCCGAAAGCAGTGAAAAATTCAGCTAATCACACTCATTACGCCTCATCATCGATTTCATCTGCCAGTTCAACTCGATCATCCCAATTTGAATCAATTAAAAAAAGGCGTCCTCTTCCTCCAGGAACTGGACGTGCATTGGCGATGGCTGATGAAGAAGGTGAATTCATGGATCCTCGAAATTTAACTGATCTCAAAAATGGCCGATGTGAACCTGATCCTGAAGATCCAATGAAGAGATTAAGTATCCTTCAAGGACGTAATTCACTTTGCCGGCCGCATTTAAAGTCATCTTATCCTGTAGAAATGCAAGACGTAAACATAACTGAAATTGCAATTAAACAAGGATCATCGAATCAATCAAGACTAAGAGCAGAAACTTTTACAATTCCTTTCAAATAAACCTGACTTATCTATTTTTCCTTGGTGATTTATCTGTAAAATCAAATTTGAAATATTCCAACCAGAAACTTACCATTCTCAACAAGATTAATCTGATCAACTTGATTAATTGACACAATGTAAATCTATTTTTTATTAAACCATTTTCTCTATTTGATCGATTTGGAAATGATGTCTACATATTTAAATTCTGCATTTACTTCTGTAATTTAAAGCAATTTGCACGATCTATTCAGTAAATTCTGATTAACATTCTCTTGTTACTCACTCACCAATCAATGACTCAAGTTTACTTTAAGAATTATTTCATTCAATTGAATTTGCATTGATACAATTATTACCTTTGCTCATTTAAAAAAAGCTTATTCAGCATAACAATAACCATCAATAACCATCAAGTACCTAAGTCAAGTGAGTGTTTAAGTTGTTAACGGGTTATAGTTACATTTTAATCTTTATAATTAATCCTTGATAGCAATATAATTATTTTAGGCACTCTTCAAATCAGACTCGACATATTTTTTTCAAGCCAGTCTATCAAGTAACAGCAATTATCAAAACACCAATTGTAACATTCAACCTATTTATTAATGTAAACCTGTAACATGATTTTAAATGTTTCAATTATTTCAATTTTGATTCTAGTTTTAATTGTACCATCATCGGCCAACGTTTGCAATTTCATAGGATACGCTTGTTCATTGAACAATATCAACTCTTCATACTTTACCCAATTAGATTACCTTCATGATTCAGAAATAGGAGATTCATGGCTACTAAAAAATAACCAATCTCCAGTTGTTTCCGGGCGATTGGTCAGTGATCTACTCATCCCACCTTATGGTCCTTCACCACATTGTTTGATGATACGTTATGCAATTACTGGAGAAGCTTTGATTAGTTTAATAGTTATAACACAATCAGATGACTATGAAGTCAGATTTTGTTATATATCGGAGGATTTTGATGGTGATGTCAAGAAAATTTCTGTTCCTTTTTCAATGTACTCTCACACTCGTATAACCATTGACATATCAATGTCTAGTTATGTCAATAGTGCCTTTTATTTAGAGTCATTTTGGGTTGTAAGAGATGATTGTTATCCCGGATTCAAAGAGCGAATGGATCCATGTCCAGAATACATAGAGCCAGAAGACAACGGAGGATTAACTATAATTGCAACAGGTCCTCAAGAATCCATAGTTGAAATGAAATCTTTACACAACAATGATACAACTTATCAATGGAACGGCAATGTAACAACTCAATTAAACAACTCAACTAATTCCAGCGATACAGTCAACAGCCAAATGCCTTCTAAAATTTATCCATCGATTCCATTAATATCTAAAAAGGATAATGTTTCAACAATCTCATCATTGACTTTGGACACCAACAATTCAAAAAGTGAAACAAGAAGCGAAAACAGAAGTAAATATATAACTACAAAAAATAATGTAACGATTCAGCTATTGGAGCCGCTGAATCTAAATGAAACAATTGTACAAGACTTTGATAAAGAAAGGAAAATTAAGGAAATTGAAGCAAATCAGACAAAAAAAGCTAACAGTGATCGAGTAAATGTGACGCTAGCCATCAATCCATCAATTGGAAATTACTCTGGAAATGTCACTGGAATGGACACAGAAACTACCGATTCAAATGATACGTTGTTTAGCAGTTTTTTGCCGTTTATAACTACTGAATCATGGAGATCAGAAATGATGGTTTCCAACTCATCCAATGAAACGAGTGAGTTTTTGGAAGGTAAAATGAGTCCGAGCGATAACAAAACAAACATAATTGACTCGCGTTTGGGGCAGTCAACACTCCCTCCAACTCAGAAACAAATGCTTACTTTTGCACAAAGCAATTCTTCAGCAGTCGCGGGTAATATTACAGCTGCTTCAACCACATCTACTGAATACTCTAAAAATATTCTTGATGGGATTAAAGAAGCACGCAATGGAACCAAAGTCTCTGTAAAACCGACACTCAATGAGACAGCTGGTGTCCTAAGTGAGACTGAAAGTAGTTATAATGGTACTAGAAGCACTATTGTGGTCACAGAAGTGAGTGTAAATCGCTTTACTCCTCTTTCTGCAACAGAAATAACGAAACTTGATTTTGCCAACTCATCATCTTCCACACAAGATACTGGGAAAGCTGTTTATGCGAAATCTACTCAGATTGGAAACTTTGTTAATGAGTCCATGAATTATAATTCAAGCAGCAATAATCAATTTACTGAGGTTACAAGTACACCAATGATGCAGCTTGGTGCAAATGTTTCAACCAAAAAATATCCATCTTCTGAGTATTCCATTAATGGAAATCAATCGACCAACGATACAACACAATCCACTGGGAGCACAAACAAACCAACATTATTGACTGAAGGAATAAGAAATACCATCAACTTTACTACCCAAATGTCAACAAAAGTCACAGTAGATCCGAATCAAGATTAAATGAAACAAAAGTCACAGTAGATCCGAATCAAGATAAATCCAATTTTACAACGGATAACAAAAGTCGAAACACTACGGAATTGACGCCAGGAACTCCAACTTCACTCCAACACCAGAATAATACTGCAGTTATGCTTTCTGCTAAAGTTAATTCAACAATTTCAAGTGTAAAATATACTTTTTCTGATTATTCCACTCATGAAAACCAATCAACTACAGTTAATACAACAGAGGTACTAAATGTTAAAAGCCAGAATAATCATGAAGGTATAAATACCACGGAATTGATACCAGGAATTCAAACTCCACTTCAACTCCAGAATGGTACTAATGTTACATTGGTGGTTTCTAATACATCGCTTTCAACAGCTTATTCCGCAAACCAAACAGTTACAGTTACACAAAAAACATCACTGATTCCAGGAGTTTTTAACTACACCAACTCCACCACCACAATATCATCAATACCTGAATACTCACCTCCTGTCTATTCCGTGACTAAGCCATCTAATACAACGGATAAGATAGGCAAAAATGGTACAGTTTCTGCATCACCTTTCGATTCAAATGAAATCGTTACAAATGATTATTCCGCAGCTGGTGTCATAGCATTGAATGGTGACAAAAACGAGCAGAAGAATCCAGAAAGATTACCAATGATTGATTGAGTGTTTCATCATGAGGAATCAACAGCAAGCAGAAATCTGTTGATAAAATTAAGCCAGTAAACCGGTAGAATTAAAATTTTTATACAATTTTTTATCCTTTAAGAGCATCCAAATAGTCAATATAAATCAGTTGGATATAAGGTATTCAAAGTAATTAAAATCACTATTTAAAAGTGAAATAGTAAAGACGGGTAAATCATTCAATTACAGTTTTCATCACTTGCAATTCTTAGTCTAATTGCCTTGCTGATAATTGGTAAATTAGACTGATACTGTTTCTTATGTTTAGTTGGTCAAATGATTTTGTTTTCATAAGATTTCCAATCAATAAAGATTTGCAAATGTAATGTAAAACATATGATTAAAGTATTTTTGTGGTTGTTAAAGTTGTGAGGTTGAATAATTTTCTTGATCCATATTGTTGTGATTCTTGAACCATAATCAGCCGATCTTTTACATGGTAAATGTATCGGCACTAGTTATCCTCAAAAATGAACGGTTGAAACAAACAATTACATGCGCCCATCAATGGATCCATCAAGCCTCAAAATTTGACATTTTGTTTGCACATTTTTCCTATCCATTGTGATGAATATAATTGAGACTGGAAGAAGCATAAAAAGAGAGAGAAAAAAAGGAAAAGTGAAAAGAGGTTAAAGAAGAGGAATGAAGATGATGATGATAATGAAGAGGGTGACACGAGGTTATAATGCTACAGCTATTGACAACACACATATTTACTCAGTGGGATGCTCATTGTAAATGTCACTTTCACTATTATCAGTGTAATCAAGATATAATAATAATAAAGCAACAATAACATGATGTTAAGTGTGTGTTGATCAAGTGTGCATCAAAACAATGGGTAACAATGAACAGCAAGGAGGAGAGACGCATCTAACACGGTCACAGTTACAGGGTGAAATTGAGGGTCATTCACAGTCAGTTTGTATTATTTTGCAGTCAGTTAATTTATAATCACAATTTGATTTTCAATGTTAACAATGTTTTTTTTACATTCACTCCAAGCTTCCTCATTCCATTGACTTTTACGTGTGTTTTTTACACATCTTATCCCAACATCAAATAGCAACTTGTACGCGTGTTACAACTCCAATTGTGAGTGTATTAACATAATAATACACTGATTATGATCATTTTAAAAATCATATTATCAATGGTTGGTAAAAATAACCAACAAAGAAACGAACAGACTTTAATGCAATTAGATCAGGTTAGCTGTGAATCTAAAAAATTAACAAAGGCTGAGCTTGTTATTTAATTTACTGTTGATTGATTGATTATTGATTGATTTTTTCGGGCTGATTGTGTGTCTTGGTGAGATGAAAAATCAAGATCAAGGTTTTAACGAACCTTGAAAATGGCGAATCCAAAATGATTAAAAAAATCAAATTAATCATATTGCCTGTCCTGGTAATAGAGTTACCTTTACCCGAGTTTGACGTGTAAAAGGTAAAACGGTTTGCAATAAATTAGATTGATTGTGATTATTATGATTGTTTGTTGTTTCCAATGTTATCATTGATTCAATTTACTGCTATTCTTGGGTTAACTTTTAATGGTTCATCATGATAATGATGATAATTGGGTTAAAAATTGCTTTTTGACGGATTAAAGTTACAAGTTGATTGAGGATTGAAGAGAGGAGCAAAAGGTAAACAAAAATTAATTATCAATGAGAATGTAATTATTATGATTATCATTTTGATGATCGCTTTTTTTGATTGAAAGCTGGCTTGATTAAAGATGATCTTGAGACAGGCTGAAATGATGATAATCATTCAATTCCCTGATGACAATATTTTTGGGTGAATCGGAAAGATGAGCAAGAAAATGGTCGATAATGAAATAAAATTCAATAATCAAGTAATATGTGTTTTTTGGGTTCACCATTCCTATGAGAGTTTGCATTTGTGTGTTGAGCTAATTTCAACTCATCAAATTAAATTAAATTAACCTAAGTAACTCACATTTCTTTCACATAACAGTTAACCTCTTTCTCCCAATCAATTGAATAATAATCAACTTAATTTACCTTCGCCATCTTACCTTTTGTTTCCATCTTTGCCTTATTGTATTATTTTGAAGGTTCAGGACAACATTTTGAGGTTCAATTTTTGGTAAAGGCCAAAACAATATTATCTCTCATATGATTAACAATTACCTAGGAACAATAAAAAGTGTAATAATTTAATAATAATGGTTTAATCATTTTCCGTTTGATTGTTAATTTAAATTCACTTTTTGCCTGCTATTGTTATCAACGTTATGATTGTTAACATTATCAATGTTGAGGTAATAATTGAGTAAAGCCTGAAAGAAACGCTTCCACGAGGAAAATATCATTATTATGATTTCAACTTGATAAATGTTACAATCAAATTAACCATTTCTCTTTCACCTAATACAATTAACTTCCCTCTTTTTACTACCTTTAACCATCAGCATCTTCTTGAATGTTAATTAACTTGATTAACTCAAAGGAATAACATAATTAAAGTTGACTTGCTTTCCATTTTATTGCATATTTTAACGCGTCTTCATGGTTAAGTGAAGGGAATTGTCTAAGATTTTCAATTCTTGATTCTAGTTTATAATAACAATTGGTTTTAGTCAGTAATTGTATTTTTAATTTTTTGGTAATTTTCATTTAAAGTTAATTGTCCAATATTCTTGTTGGCTTTATTTTCAATGGCAACAATTGATTTACATTTTTCCTCTTTCCTTCCTCAACCTCCAATGGATATATCTTTCGTCTAATCAAATTAATTAGCAATCATGTTGAAACAATTTCTGAATACAAATGAAAGTTGATAATAATTAGGATGGTGATTCGTTTAAAAAGTTTTCATGCAGCTAATTTTATTTCAATTTGATTCACAATTTGATTTTCCTTTACCAATCAACCTGACTGTTTCTCAAACAAATGACTTACAACTGAATCTTACCATCATCACCATGGTCGTTATTATTACAAATTAAATACATTTATAACAAGGTTAAGACTAAATTAATCAATTATTGACGATTGATTAGGTGAAAGTTTGGATAATTCAAGTCATGATTATTTACCTTCAATTGGATTATGAATCAATATAAATTGGCCAACAGCAAGCCAAAATTTTAACGCAAAAGAGGCGAATCCAATGGTACAATGTAATAGATAGCAATACACGTTAAAAAAAGCCGATTCTGAATCAAATTAAAAGAGTAAAAAAACTATTAAAGGCTTTAATTAAAGGAGGATTTCAAATTGAATAGGGGAAATTGCCTATCGTGAGACATGAGACTCGTGGTCATTTTCTGAAACTAATCCTTTTTCAGATTGGTTGGTGCTTGTTACATGTTCATAACTAATTCTGGAAAAAAAGATATGACTGTTTCCATACCGATCAGTTAATCAATTTGTTTTGAGCCGAAATTCGGTTATCTTTTCAACGCTATGCGTTCTGAACATGTAACAGGTACCAACCAATCTGAAAAATGATCAATTTCAGAAAATAACCTTATAATTTCATTTAGAGGTCAAATAAAGAAGTGAACTTGAATGACCTTGAGCTTTCGAAAGTATGATTCTTCAATCCGCAAAAGCTTATGGTCCAAGTTTGAGGTCTGTAGCATCATTCTTTCATGAGTTATGACTGCAAGCGGGCGTACAGGATAAAAACGCGCTATACTACTCTAGTTTAATTTAGTATGCAATTTTTATTTTATTTTGTAAAATATTGAAAAAAATGAAATATGTCATATGATGATGATATACAGTTAATAAATTCAGTTACACATTCAATTGAGTGGAAACCTTATTATGATTACTATTAATATGATCATTAGTAAGTATAATTTACATTTTTGCTTCTATCTACATTCACCCTCAGGTTATTCAATTCAATTTTATTATTATATTCATATATTGTTATAATGACTCCCCGTTTCATCTCATATTTCAGGTATCTTAATCATCAGCAACATCTTTCAACATATCCAACATTATCTGGATCCGTTGAGCACTGAATTTAAAATGCGCGCAAAGTTAACTCCAACAATGGGAGCCAGCTGAAGATTGTAAAAAGGTATGTTTTTTACCGTTCAATATAAATGTTGTTTCTTTTATTTTTTGTTGATTTTCCAAGTTGAGATAATCAGATTTATACTTTTCCATATAATAATCTTTTTATTCTCCATGTCTTTCCCCTGTTAATTTCTCTATCTTTCCTCATGCTCATTGTGAGTTTGTGTCTGCAGCCAATTTGGAGTAACATTAATGGTAATGGTGGCCAAGTAAATATTAACACCAAATTATATCATTTTCTTGGCATTTATTTTATCTTTCTATTATCATTATCATCATTGAAAGGTAATCATGATAATAAATAAATATTATATATTTTCTTGTGTTGTCGGTTTAGTCGTTGAGGGAAAATCCAATTTGCGTGAAAGAGAAGAAAATAACTAAATTGAATCGATAGTTTCAAGATGATGAGGTTAACACAAGGAATCTCAATTTCCTTTGGGAGTCAATCACAAGATGATGATAATGATGATAACGATGATAAAGGTTAAGCATGATGATGGATCAACAAGACCTGGAACCTAAAGTGTGCAAGACAAAAAATGGCATCAAAAAATGGGTAAGTTGAAAAAAATTGATACAAATATTCATTTGGTTGTTTGCTTTGACTGTTTCATGGGTTTTCAATGAACTACAATCATCCTTATGGTTGAAATCAACTGTTTAGTTGATCATTGTACCATGGTAATGATTAGTTAAACATGTTTGAATGTTATTTAATAAATAAACTTGTTACATTGTTTGATTAAAAACGAGGCAGCAAAGGTAACAACCAAATCTTATTTTGTTTTTATTGCATTTCTCACAACTAACTCTTTCTTTTCATTAGGTATGGATGGCTTGCTAGAGTTGGATTTGTAATCAAATAGCATGGAGTAATGATGATAATGGATTATTTCATAGTTATCATGGGAAATAATATTTCCACTCACTCAGTATTTCATGATTAAATTGATTAACACATTTTGAATGAACGATGAGCCTGAATGGCTGCATGATAAACCTTTCGTTGGATGGTATTATGTAAAGTAATTTATCTTAACCAGGATTAAATAGATACTCTTATTGATAATCATTGACCATTATTGTATTGATTATAAGATGAAGATGATTATTGTGATTTCTCATGAGAAATTAACTGATTCTGGTGGAAATAAGAGTTGATCAGTTGATGATAATTATAATACATAATCTGTTATTTGGTTAAACTATTAACAAAAGGCAATTATTGTTAATCATTGATTTAAATCTGTGCCTGATGAGATTTTGGTAACTTTCAATAAAACAATTTTTCATCAAGAATCGTCTTAACCAACAGATTGATTAATTGCAAATCCAATTGATTTAGCCATTTAATTAGCTTTTTTCCCTTCAAATTCATTCCAAATCCTAAATTTCTGTCAATCAATTTTAATTCAAATAACCAATCATGACAATATAATTATCAGATGCTAACAAGACAATCAAGTTTACTGCAGGTCAACACATTAAATAAAAGTCCAAATATATTGAATATCATTTTGTGGTCAACAAAATTAACAAAGATTAAATAGCAATCAATGACATTCAATTGACCTCAAGAGCAACCCAAATATTGGTTGAAACAAGTCATAAAGTGATGAGGAAAAAAAAGGAATGAAAAAAAGATCAAATTGAAGATGAAATGGATGGAGATGATTATCATCATAAAAAGACAAGCAAACACGATTTAATGATCCTTGAAACTGATTTATTTAACCAGTCAAAATACAAACAAAAAACAATTTCAATGTTAGCATCAGTAATATTATTGATAGCAATGCATTTGAGAATAGAAATGCATTCTGATTTTGGTTATTCCTCCATGATTATCACATTTTCAACCAACAATTGTTAATGGCAAAAAATAGATTAAGCTTACCATTATGATTAACCTTTAACTTTTACAAATGTTGAGGTTGAGTCGAGACATTTTTTGCCACTGAAACATTGCTTTTTCACAATTTTCATCTTTAATCATCTTCAGGTTCATCCTGATCTTGTAAGACAATTAATTTAACCAATCAAATAACTTATCAACATTCAACTGGTAATGATAATAATGGGAATAATAAAGATACAATGAATTTACTGTTGTATAGCCAAATGTGTTTATAAATGGATTGTCAATTTGTTTGAATATTTTCCTCTGTAACTCCATTTTTGCACCTCATTATTTTACAATAACAGTTACTTTTGTTATTATATATTAGCCTTTAATTTCTTTAACATAATATATTGACCCAATTGACCCCCTGCTAGATGGTTACTTGTTAATGACCACATAGTTTTGTTTGTGTTAATCATTGTGAATAAGTGAATAAATTAGTCAGCCAAATACAAAAGTGAGAAATCAAATGTTAATCAAAGTTAGCCTGAGTCGGTCCGTTTAACTGAGGGTTAAACAGCGATCCTTAATGCAACAATCATTTGTATCTTGTTGGGTTGTTCAGTCATTGGGTTTTATTTTTTTTTAGCTCATACAAAACAAAAAAGTATACACAAAATACAGAAAAAATGACCGGAACTGTTATTACCATTTGCAAGATGAAAACAAGATTGGTCCATTGTTTAGCTTTATTAGGATTATTATTATTAGATTGATGGGTTAACATTAAGATTTGCTGGGTTAAAATGGGTTTTATTTTATGGACCGTAAACACATTTGTTTGTTCATCACTTTTTGTGGTTCCTAAATTTTTAGACTCAACACAAAGAGTGTTAAGGTTTACAGGCAAGTCGCCAGTTCAATTGGTCATCATTTCAATCCACCAAGCTTTAGCTTTCAAGTCAACCTTTACCAATAATCTGGTTGATAATGGGTTTGCATGGTTAACATTGTTATTGTTTACAATTAGGATAATTGAATAATTGCTGGCAACTTGGTAACCAGTTAAGGTTAGATCAGAATAGCGTAAACGGTTAATTAATAAAATTTACCTGGAAAAAGGTTTAATAATATAAATGTAAATCATAAATGGTATTGTTAATTATTAATTGGCTGTAAGTGAATTATTATTTATATAAATATATTTTTGATTACCATTAAACCTGTAGAAAAGCATTAATGTTATCAATTTGCTGTACCTTTGCTGTATATTATTATGATTGTTATACACCAACCTAATACAGCATCAAATTAATTATGTTTTTACTTCACTTCTTTCATTTTTCATCTTCAACATAATCAAGCAAATTGTTATCCGTCAAATTAATCCATTTAATTTTATTGTATTACCCTTTATATTGTGTTTATCATCTTATATTTTTTGCTTCTCCTCAGTCTCTTGCCATTGTTTACTTGATAATTTAATAATTGAAACAAAAGCCTAAAAATAAGTTTATATAAGGTGAATGTAACGATGATTATTATTAAAAGGTTAGGCTGATGGTGAAAATTATGTTTACAATTGTATTTACAGGTAATTTCAATGAATCCAGAGTGTTAACTTTGTGATAATAGTTTTCATTCAGAAAAGGTTAACATTTGATTAGCATTTGATTTGAAGGATTTGATTGGGATTCAAGTGAGATCTTTCCTTGTGTGTTGCATTATTTTCATGTGTGAAGGAAGTTGATTTTGTTTTTTTTACCTTCAATCACAATTGATTATTTACTGATTATTGTAATTTTCATTATTTGTTTGCCTTCATATGTAACTAAATTATGAACAATCTGAATATAATCACAGCAGGCTGTTGATAAAATTTCTCATCTCATGAATTTGTAATCATGGCAAAGAAAGGGAAAAGTTAACGCAATTTAAAACAAAACCAAAAGTACAAAGTTAACTTTGATTTAGCAGGTAAGGTTAACGAGTTTCAGTGGAATGTATTGCCTGCAATTCAATAATATTGGAATCCAAGCAAATTTTGCATGATTGAGTCAAAAAATGATAATTGATCAAACAAATCCAAAAATATCTGTAGTGGAGTGGATAATGGAGTAAAAATCTTCTTTGGTTAACATCCATGGAAACATAAATTTGTGGCTTATATTTGCCCAGAACGACCTTTTGTCGATTCGTGCAATCCACTTTGACAGTTGGAAATAAGATTCGAATGTCCGTTCCAAATCCATATTGACCATCCAAACCCTTGGTTGATTCTTATATACTTGTCCATAGTTCAGTCCAACTTTGGAACTTAGTGTTTCAATTTGAATGACGGAATAAGGTATGGGCCCTAAAGTTTGTCAGTATAATGGTACATATTTATTTGAATTTAACAAAGTATTTAAGTTAAAATTTAGTGAAAAAATAGTCAGATCCGCTGAACATGGTCCACTGTCAATAATTATCTCCAAAAAATAATGAATTTTCAATTAAAGACTTGTTAAATTCAAATAAATATGAACCATTATACTGACAAACTTTAGGGCCCATACCTTATCTGTAAGGTAAAAAATGATATTCATAACAATAGCTGATAAAGATTATCGATTGTATTTTACTAATACCTTTAATGTTGTAGTTAACCGATGAAATGATGATTTGATCATAATTATTATTACTCATCTAAACTGGATTGAGTATCGGGTAATAATGGTTATGTCACTTTGATGGTAATTCACTTTAAGCCTAACAAATTTGCCAAGTTAACCAGTTTTAGTAGACTTTAAAATTTACTTTTTGATCATTAAAACCAAATGTTAACAGCAACTTCCATCCTTACTTTGATTCAGGTGATGATGATATAACCTTTCTCTTGAGATTATCAAGCTTTATAGTGGATAATAGAAGAGATGAAATGAATGGTGATGATGATATTAATCTGGATCCAAGAGAGTGAGAGGATGATATTGGTATAGATGAAACCAAATGATCTTCCAAAAGAGTCAATGTAACTAGAAAATTGAAAAACTGACAACTTAAATTAATAGATAAATGGTTTTTCAAGTTGCTCAAAAATAGGTAAACTGTTAACTTTATATAAAAAAAAGTAAATATACTTTTTCGATATGTTTGACTCATAAATATCACTTTACCAGGTTTGGAAGCAACTTTATAATAGTCAACTGATTGATAATGATAATAATATTGATGATCAACTTGATAATGGTTGAAAATTTGCCTCAGTTAACTTTTTCCTTTTTTAAATCTCATCAAATGACCTGAGAGTTAAGGTTGACTTGACACAACTCTATTAAAGCTGTCTCCATTATAGCCATCACTACTTTGGTCAACTTTATTTTAATGGTCCATTGGTTTATGTTGTTATTATCACCATCTTGAGCGAAAATGAGCTTCCCTATCATTTACTTGATTTATCTCGCAAAATCATATCAATAGGAAGACAACTCTCAATCTAAATCATATATTACTATTATTTAAATATATTGAGGCCTTCCATGACGTTCCATGCCATCGAGTTCTCCAATGGTAACAGATCTTTTTCTTCCCTGGTTATGACCACAAACAAGCATCAAAATATCCTGTAAATGATTTTTAAGGGCAGCTCAGTAAGATATCTGCAATGAAGATGAAGAAGGTTGGTTACTTTGCGATTGCATGAAAGTATGAAAAAATATCAAGACATTTTTCCATGTTTTACTTTGGAAGTTTATAAAAGATATTTCACTCCGATGTCATGTTTGTCAAGTTTCTTTGTCTATAAGATATCAAATCAATGTTAATCTCAAATAAATTGCGATAACAATGATAACAGTTTAGGCCTGAAGGTAAATCTAATAGTCACAATCAGTTGAGAAATCAAAAATTAGTCTGAACATTTTCATACCTTCAGTATATTTTTGAGTCAACCATTAGTTGATATTTTAAATTTAACTTTTTTTGGGAACCATTATTGTTGTCTATAAGATGTAAAGACATGATGATCATGGTATATGAGGACGATAATGATTATAATGATGAGTCAAATAAACAGAATGATAACTTGTTACTTTCGTTAAATCAGGTGAAATCAAAATGCCTCAAAGCAGTTGAAAAACACAAACAAAAACAGCGAAAAACAAGTGAAACAAAAACTCGATGAAAAGGTAAAAAACAAGTTCACTCCGGGTAAAAAAACAGCAAAACTATTAATAGAATAAGAAAATAAGAAAATGTTATCTTAAGATTAGCGTTTTTTAGCAAAGATTAATCTCTTATCTCTTATCTCTTATATCTTATCTAAAGTTAACCCATTACTCAACATAAAGCAAATATAAAGCTAGGTTTGAACCGAGCTTTGTTTATTTTTCCCTGTTCTGGTAATAGTTATACTCTTTGGGTTTATCTTATTTTTGATTTTGAATTTTCAACTTATGAGTTAAATTCAACTGTCACAAGATGATGTAATTTAACTGTTAACACTGTTTTTTCCATTTTTGTTTGAATGTTAAATTGAAAATCGTTTTTTTCTGCCTTCAATTGGCAATGTGAGAGAAACAAAAATTGTCATTTGAATATTTCTGTTTTCACTTTGCAACTGTGACTCAGGAAAACAAAAACAACTTGGCTACATTGTTATCGAAGTGATTGAAGTCTTGATAAAAGATTGAATGTTGGTGATGAAAAGGTTAACATGAAGATGTAAACTTGATAACTGCAAGACCAATCAAAATGAGGTAAAAAAGGGGAAACAAGTTAACCTTTTCTTCTCCAGGCAATCTTTTTCTCTATTTTTTAACAAAATTTTCGTCTTGTTACTTTCAATTTCCATCTTTCACTTTTCTTTTTCTTCTTTCCTTTGTTTCTGTGTTAACATCTTTTTTTGCTCATCATCACCATAATCACCACCATTACCTTCATCTTGAACATCTTCACCAACAACACCACCAACATCATCTATTTAACATATTTTATCCCTTTACTTTTGTGAAAAAATATAAAGTAACCCAATTCTCTAGTGAATATATGAAAATTACTTATTCTCACTTGTGGGGTTGACCCATCAATGGATGCAAATTGAAATAAAATTGATTGGACAAGCAACAAAAATATGCTAAACAATTTGATATACAAGTAATATTTCAATTCTGTCGTTAATTCTTTCAATTTTTGCTTCAGCTTTTCATTCTTTTTTTACTCATCTTCATTCTTTTAACTTTTCCTTCTCTCAATCTCTTTCAGGTTACCTTTGATGCTTCATCTTTCATATCTTTTTATCTCCATGTGAGGGGAAAAAGCAAGAAAAGGTTAAAAACTATTGAATTGTTGGTTTGATGATTTTTCACTTTACCGCTCTGAAAGGTAAGTCAACGTAATCTATGCAAAAAATGAGCTTTCCTAGGCAAAACGTTGATAAAATTGAAAAACGAACAAGATTTTCCAAAGAGTAAGGAGGAAGAGAGAGCGATAGATGAACATAAACGACTATTTAATATGTATAACAATAGGTGGCGCAAAAGAAAGAGTCTCTTTCTTTTCTCTTTCTTTTTAATCAATGAATCTTCCTGAAGCAGCCACTTTCGAGACACCAGATTCATTATTGAAACTAATGGACTCCAAGCCTGCTGATTTCATTAGATTGGCAGCTTTACAATCAATAGCCAGTTATAAACATAATGTTGGTTTATTTTACAAAGAGGCAAGTAGATATGAATCAACATTAGCTGATTCAACTATCAAGCAATTAGACATTCTTCACAATGAAATTGACAAATTGAACATCACAAGTCCAGCAACTCCATCAGTCACTAAATCACTCCGAATAGTCTTGGAAAGGTTCAAGCTCATCATTAACATGTTTTCATGTTCAAGATTCTAGTTGAACTGTTATCAAGCAACACAACGATTATTTTCCTTCAATGACTCTATTAATTTTCATTGTATTCATTTGATTTTA